TGCTTCATCTGTTCTTATAAGCAGTAAGATTTGCTTCTATTCTTATAAGCAGTAATTATTGCTTCATCTGTTCTTATAAGCAGTAAGATTTGCTTGCCTAGTCGAGGGATGCAGATGAGCCCTTTTAAGCAGTAAAAGTTGCTTCTTTTCTTACAAGCAGTAATATTTGCTTCTATTCTTATATGCAGTAATTATTGCTTCATCTGTTCTTATAAGCTGCAAGATTAGCATCTTATTCTTACAAGCAGTAGTTCAAGCTAATAGCTGCGGGATGCAGATGAGCCCTTATAAGCAGTATATTTGTATGAATAGTCCCTGCACAAAATGCTGCTTATCTAAATCTTATCGGGTTGAGATGTCAGCTTATCGGGTTGAGATGTCATATTATCGGAAATAACGTTTAAGCAGTCTAATGTACTTGTAAAATTTTCTCTTCTGATAAGCAGTCTGGTATGCATATGTACTGTTAATATAATCATCAATTTTGTGATTGTAAACTTTATCTGTATACAGATACATTTATTTTAGCAATAAACGTTATCTTATCTTATCTTATCTTACTCACTTACAGTACTAGGTTAGTACATACACACTTACAGTACTAGGTTAGTACATACTCACTTACAGTACTAAGTTAGTACATACTCACTTACAGTACTAAGTTAGTACATACACACTTACAGTACTAGGTTAGTACATACTCATTTACAGTACAAGGTTAGTACATACTTACTTACAGTACTAGGTTAGTTCATACTGACTTACAGTAATAGGTTAGTACTATACTCACTTACGCTACTAGGTTATTACATACTCACTTACAGTAATATATAGGTTAGTACTATACTCGCTTACACTACTAAGTTAGTACATACTCACTTACAGTAATAGGTTAGTACCATACTCACTTACGCTACTTTGTTAATACATACACACAGAATTATTTCTACAAAAAAAAATTGAGTCTTAGCTACAAACTCAAATTTTCTGATCCCTATATCTTTGTTAAAAGATGTTGTAAACCTTTGATTTTAAAGACTTAATATTTTGAAATATCTAAGGTTTACGAAACTGTGTTGCAAAGATATAGGGATTATGAAATCAGAGTTTGTGGCATAGACTTACAATTCCTTTAAAATTTTAAGATATAGCTTTGTTAAAAAAATTTTAACCACTCTTTCAAAAAAAGTTTGCGTTGGTTTGCTTTAAAACTAAAATACAATTTGGTTTTTAATATTTTTTGAAATTTCTTATCCTTTGTCAGATATCTTTGATTTTCAGCTTAATCTTGCAAATGCTGTTTGCTTTTCAAATTTATGTAGATTAAAGAATCATAAAGATTTAATAAAAGAAGGGGGGGGGTGAGGTATTTCATTTGTTCCATGTTCTTGGGTAATTTGGGGGGAATCCTTTTTTTTACATATTTTCTTTTCTTCTAATAAAGTTTGCCCTGTTCTTTTGTGAGAGCACATTTTAATTGGCCCTACAGTTAAACCCTAAATTAGCCATACATCGAAAGAATTTATCAAATGTCGTCTTTACAATTTTTAAATGGGATTTCTACCTTTTTACGTAAATCTCAGTATTAGCAAAAATAAAAAAATTGCCATGACTATGCGGGAACAGTTTTAAAGAGCTCCATATAATCATTTAATTAAAAATTATGAAAAAGATCGCTCAAACGTCTTCACTATGCTAATAATACTCTTTAAAAGACATTTTAAAAAACTCTGTTTTCGACATAATTTTTAAAAGTGTACTTAAAACCTACCCAGCACGTCAACTTCTAAAAATAAGTAGCATTGAAAAGTTTGTACCACTTTCTCCAATCCGAACTCTAAGAGGCCCCCCCCCCCCTATTAGACACAAATACGCGAACAAGTATAGGGTTAAAGAATTTAATTTACTAAATGTTCTAAATGAGAATAATTTGGTTGAAGAATATTCAATTGGGGGCAATTGAGAGAGAATTCTGCAAATATTATCAATTATACAAACTTTACAGAAGCACTTACAAAACGTTTCCACACAAAAGGTTTCTTTAACAAAATGTGACCCCACAAAACGTTTCATAACAAAACAATTCCACCACAAAATGTTTCCGCCACAAAGCATTTCCTTCACGAAATGTTTTCCCACAAAATGTTTACAAACTAAACAATTCCTGCCACAAAACATTTCCTTCAAAAAATGTTTCCTGACAAAAAAACGTTTCTTGCCACAAAATATTTCCTGTGATTTTCGCAAAACGTTTCCTCACATAACATTTCCACCAAAACATTTCCTGCTACAAAACTTGAGGTGGAGAATGAGGGGAGGGAGAATTTTTTTTTAAATCCTGGTATTCCTGTCTTAATAGGACTGTAGACGTTATTGCATGTGATCCTTTAATTAAAGAATTTCATTTAACAGAATCCCAATCTTACCCAGTAAACATTTGTATAAGTAAAAATGATTGAGTTATCTTTTGTTTTCTTCATGAAAGTTTGCAAATATTGCAGTTTTTGATAATTAGAAACTTAGAAGTATTTTTCTAGTTTTACTTCATTGTTTCGGTAACGAAGGTAGATAGTTTTTTTGACGATCGTTAACGATTCTTTACAGTGGTAAACGACAACCCTTTGTTAATAATGCTTAACCCTATTGCTGCTGGGGGGGGGGGGTCAAGTTGACCCCCCCCCCTGTAGTTTTTTTACATAACTCAAAAAGTATTGGTCTGAGGCTGTTGAAATTTTCTGACTTTTCCTACATACCCAAAGCCCTCTCTTTAGGCCTAAAACCGGGCTTTAATACTAACTGCCTGAGTCTTTTTCCTGTAACATACTAAATCTTTGTTTTGACCCACTTTCTCTTGTCAGATTTTGATAAAATTTAGCTTTCTGGAAAGCCTATGACATAAGAAAACGAATTGCATAAGTTTTGCGAAAAAAAAAATTGCAAATTTTTTGCAAACAACCTGTCAAAGGAAATTTGCACATTTTTAGTTTTTCTTGATTAAAAATCAGGTTATTTAAAATTTTGCACAAATTTTTGCATATTTGAAATGGCATGGTCAAGGGCTTTTTTTCAAAAATGTATAATTTTTCATTTTTTGAGCAAATTTTTTTTTGCAAACATTTTTACAATATAACTGGATTTTGCGATAAAAAAAATTCAATTTTTGCAAATTTGCGAATTTTTTTGCAGATTCTGAAAGTAGAACACAAAAGCTTTCCAATGATGTATCATTTGTCATATTTGGACATCAAACATGGGATTTAGAGGGGGGGGGGTCAAATTGACCCCCCCCCCAGCATATCTTGGTTTTCAAGTACCCCAGCAGGGATAGGGTTAACAAACGTTAACGACGGATATGGTTTAATAATCTTCCATAGTCGTTTTTGTATAAAATAAGTATTACCAAGGAGAGGAAACCGACAAAAAAGACATTGTAGCTTACCTACCTAGGTTTTTACCTTTATAAATACAATTATAGGTGAAAAAAACCTTAAATCAGAAAAACTTCAGGTCAGAAAACACCAAGGTCATTTTCCAAGTATGTAACACGACGTTTTAAAACATTTTTACTGTAAAAAAATAGAAGAAAATTTTAAAAACTCAAATTTATTTAGATTTATATTTTTAACAATAAAGCGAAAATACAGTCTTTTCGTTTCTCAAAATTTCAAAACGAATTGTTCGTTTGTTTTGACCTTAATTTGAAAAATAAAAAAGAACGAGAAACTATCATTTTCAGGAACGTAAAAATGTAAAATCAATGAAATTATGTGAATTTAAAACTTTTAAAAACAGAAAAGGTCCATAGGGTTACCTTTAAGAAAAATCAGATAGTATAAAAGTGTAGAAAACCTGTTTTTAGTTCCCCCAACTGCAGAGGTTAAGCCTGGAAGCGGGGAGATTAGGTAATTTTAATTTCAAACATAATATGATGTGTTGTCCTCTCAGCTGTTTTTAAATTTATGAGTTTTCAGAGAAAAACATTACAATTTCATCATTTGAAATATTTCACATTTTAATTTTCTGAACTTCGTCAGATTAATGTTTTTTTTCTGATTCGTTCTTTTTTTTAATCTACAAAGACATATTTAATACCCCACGGCCCCTTACCATACTTAAATTTAAACATATAAATTTGAGAGAAAAACACAACAAGAATTATATGCCAAGCATCCTTTTAGTTTAATAAAACCTAATTATGCCATGCATGGCACACTAAGGAATTAAGTTTTTGCCGCATTTTCTAACCTCTATATCTTTGTAACCTTATGGTGTAAACCTTTGACATTTCAAACTTTGACTATTTACTCTAACAGAATTGATAGTTTGAAATATCAAAGGTCTTGGAAACGGGTTGCAAAGTTATAGAAATTGGAAAATCAAAACTCAAATCCTTTCCTGATTCAGCCAATAAGGTTGTTTTATTGCTTGTTGATATTTTGTAATCCATCCAAAGAATTCAAACAAACATTCTGAATTTTTGTATATATACGCAGGAAAAACAGTTGTTTGAACTGAGTTTAGTATTTTCCCAAAGTCATTTTCCCAAGGGGCGACTTCCCAAGTGACAATTTTCCAAATGGCAACTTTCCAAGTGGAAGCTCTTAAATATGCAATTGACCAAGCGGCAACTTCTCAAAGGTTAGGTTAGGTTAGGCAATAGGGGCCTATCGCTGTGGATAAGATTGGCTAGGGGGCCGAGCGTTGCAGTTAGAGAAAGTTTTTGCTTGGGAAATTGATCATTTGGTTAGTTGCCATTAGAAAAAATACCGCTGAGAAAATGCCTCTAAGAAAGGACCCATGGCATCGTTTTCATAATTCGTTTGTATAAATGATCTGTTCTCAAAATCAGACATGTTTTTTTATCGCTTATTGTATTTATAACACAGGGTTGCCCACAAAGGATGAACCTGAAAAAACGACCAGAGTCCGAATTTAATGAATTTGAGCCGAGTCTCAAATCCGCCCTAAACCGGTTTCAATTGAGCGCCGTCTTAAATCTGGAAACATTGAATACAATAAGTGCAACCAATCATATTTAAGCCGCGGCTCAAAGTCTTAAAATTCGGCCATTGAAACTCTTTAAATATGATAATTTCAAGGTTAAATTGATTCTTCTGCCTTAAATAAAGTCCTTTAATGGCTTATTAATAGATTCAACTAAGAAAAAAACAGAAAATTAACACTGGCAGGCGATCTTGAATATTTGGAAACAGAAAATAAACATTTCGCACAGTCGTATCTGAAGTCTCATTGTTTGTGGTTAATCCTGTATAATCTAGGGTAGAGGAGGGGGCTAGAGTCAAACTAGAATGTGTTGTTACAGGAATACCCTTCCCTCTAGTCCGTTGGTTTAAAAAGGTAAATTTAAAGGGACTGTTAACGTTGTTTAAAGTGATTCTCCGCTTTTTAAAGAGAATTTTGATTGACCTTCCATTTTAAAAGGAATATCCCCGATTTACAACGGTACCCTTTCAAACGTTGACTTATCAACAGGCTACTCGCAATCGTTTCCTGGCAAATATTTAAAATTAGTACTTTTGTAAATCGCAAATGGCACTCTTGAATTAAAAAAATCTAAGAAGTTAGAAATTGTTTAGAAAAGTTTGCTCAAGGAGCTTTACAAATGCATGCAAAATTGCATCTTTCAGTAGATTAACAAGATAAGGTAGGAGAGTGTATAGATTCAAATTAAAAAAGTAAATACAATGACAACCATTGAACATGTAGAACAGGAAGACGACAATTAAGCAATCTTATTGTGTATTTTATATTGCTACAAAGGGGTTTTAGAACAGTAAAAACAAGAAAACTCTGAAATAGAAACACACACTCAAGGACTTTATATAGGCCCACGGCCTAACCTTGAAATAAGACTGAAGACTTCGTGGCATTTGCGCATTTCCACAAAAGTGAAGACGATATAAAAATAATCTCGAAAACCCAAAATAACTAGACTCTGGCTGTTAACTTCTTGCTTTAATTCGCCGTTTTAAACATCTACTAGAAATGTCTAGCTCTTGGGAAGCCTGAATAAAAAAAATTGCACAAGATTAGAAAAAGTGAATTTTCACAGATTTTGGGTTTTCTTGATTACAACTCTTTAGAAAATTTGCAATTATTGTTCCATATTTCTAGTATTTTATCAGATCTTGCAAGGGGGGGGGGGAACCCAATGTTTTATGGTTTTGATGTACCCCAGCAGGGATAGGGTTAATATCTTGTAAACTTTATTGTATTTAAGATAGCGTAAATTCGAGAACTCCAGGTCTAAAGAAAAACTGGATGTCTAGTTTGATAGATTATACCTAAACCTTTCATCATTTTACAAAAACACTTAACTTCTACACTTCTTTTAATCTTTCTCTACACCTTCATTCTAGAGAGTCAATGGGAGACAGGACACTACGGTGCGAACCAGAAAATTGTGAAACAGCCAGACAACATCTTAGCAATATTTAAGTGTATTTGATGTTGTCACAAAACAAATAGTTTTACTAATAACCAGAAAACAATGGAATAGAAAGACGACATCATGGCAATACTTAAACGTTTTGATGTTGTTACAAAGCAAATATTGTTACTTGTAACTTAGCAAAGCACTATGTTAGTATGGGTCTATTTACACTGTACAATTGCTATGTCCAATGTTCAGTTGAAGTCCTAACTTTGGTTTAAAAGTCCTCTTTCTATTTCAGAGTTTTCTGGTTATCACTGTATGAACTTTTTAAATCACTTTTTAAAGTGAAATTGGTCTGATTACACTGCACAATTGGTCTGATTACACTGCACAATTGGTCTGATTACACTGCACAATTGCTCTGTATCATGTTCTTTGGAGTATTTAAAGTCATAACTTGAGTTGTCTTCATGTTCTAGAGTTGTGTGGTTCTCACTAATCGATTCATAATCTGATAGTGAGGGGCATCGCTAAAAACGATCTTTTACGTTTTGTTTTGGACTTTTTAAAACTAACTAATCAAAACATAACTAAAATGTGAACCTTGCAGTTAATGAATGGCATGTTTGATTTTCAAATTTTCAAATTTGTGTCTAATAAAGGAGAGGATGAAGAAATCACCAAAACACACTTTGATAGAAAGTTTACCATCAAAACATTAAGGTTGAAAGTAAACTGAAAACTGACTGTGAAATAGTATGTCCACTTTTCCCTTCTCCCTCTCCTAGCTGTGAAATAAAAATGTGCATCTTCCCCCCCTCCCCCGCCCTCCTCTCTAAAATAGCAGGCATGAATCTACTTTGAGCTTTAACTCCAACATATAACACAGTTTCCTTTAATCTTAAACTAACTAAGTGAAGCGGTTCCTTTCTTCATACTAACTCAATCCTTCAGGAAAAAGAGACTTTATACTCCAAATAGATTCTAGTACAATAGATGGCAACGTAGAATTTGTACACTCTCAGTACAGATGTATTCTGACGTCACAAGTGTCAATTCAGTTTTTTAATAATAGTGATAATTTTAGAAGTGCTTTTCTTGCAGTAAAATAAGTGCAATTTTATGTGTTCTTTAGTCTCTGTTTTTACACTTTAATTTGATTTAATCTTGGAAAACATGTCAACAAATGAGAAACAATTTCGTTTTCCTTGTTATATTTGACACTATATTGGACGTCGTGTATAATTAGTTCATTTCTCTGTTGCCACCTATTGTAATTGATAATCTATTTGGTATAGTCAATTATTGTTTTATCTTTTATTTCTGAAGTCCATGTTTCATCATAAGTTCCATGTTTCAACCCTTTCACGATTGAGAGAGGGGGGGGGTATGGTTTCCAGCCCACCCACCCCCCTCTCGTACTGTTGTTTTTCTCCATAACTCATAAAATTATTTAAAATTTACTTATTTGAAAAGCCCTTTAAAAAAAGGTGTAGGATTATAGTGGCACTCACATGTTGATGTTTGTGAAAAACAACAAAAAAAATTTTTATTACAACTCTAACCAATACGCTAAGAAGTCTTTTTTTTAATAGGATGGCCTTGAAAAGTTGGTCTATAGGGACACTGGGACGTATATCACACACCCCTGTCATAACTCTATGGGTATAATCAAAGGGTAGGGACTAGGGGGAAATGGGGGGGGTGGAATCAACACAACCCCTATTTCTATGAGATAAAAATAGCTCAATCGGGATAGGATTAATGAACAATGCAATGTTTGTATTGCTTTTAATTAAAAAAAATTATTTTTAACTGAAAATAAAAAAAATTGTGAGAATCTTTTTAAAGTATTAGGTTTTTGGGGTTTGCGGTAGTTTTGAAAGTTTAAACTCTTTTTTTTTGTTGAAAAGTTTGCCAGGGTTAAGGAAGAAAATTGAAAGTTTTGTTAAGGTTTGGTCTATCAATTCTAGCAGAGAGTATACAGAGTATATAGAATTATAGAGCTAGAGTATTTATAATTTTAGAGATGGCAGAGGTTTAGTTGATCTGAAGCAGAACTTTTATGTTTTGAATCTCAGGATCCAGTAGAAGGGAGATACAACTGATGCGGCCCACCCTACCATATGATTACACATTCTTTGCAAACGGTACTTCATTTGTATAAGAAATATTTGTCTGATGTACAATTACCGCGTATACAATAACCTATTCTGAATTTTTTTTTACACAAATGGAGTACCCGACTGCAAAGCATGCATTATGGTAGGGCGGGCCGAGTCAGTTGTATCTCCCTTCTATTTCATACTCCTTGAATGCTCTCCATCTTATTACACAGACCCTGAGATAAATTTGATTCGTCTTCAATATCCCGTTATAGCTATGTGGGATAGCTTTAAGCATTTATCCTCAAACTGTAAAATGTCCACATTGGATATCGAGATCAAGTATTTAAGATTATCAATACTTTCACAGAAAACTTTCTCTCTCAGAGATAATAGATATTAAGGTTTAGTTTCCCTGAACAGAGTCGATAATAATTGTAATTTCAAGTGACCCTCCATGCAAAGATGACAATGCCCGATTTACAAACCCTTAATCCGATAAAATATGTAATTAAGAAACTGTCGTTTACCTGACTCGAAATTTGTTTAATTATGATAATTTCTCCATTGCTTCTGATAAGCAAGCAATGCGCTGATTACTTTTACAGGGAAACGATTTAATGGGTAAAAACATTGAAAATCGGGCATTGTCATCTTTGCATGAAGGGTCATTTGGAATTACGCTTATAGTTCCTTTAAGTTGAGCAGAACAATATTTTTAAAAAGATGATTTAGATCAATGAAAGAAAAAAGTAAAAACATTGTAGTTACTGTAACACAGAGCTTCTTGTTTAAAACAAGTTTAGAGTAAATTGAGATTGGTTAAACTCTTGCTATTTTAACAGAGTTCTGAAAACCAAGGCTTTGTGAAACTTTCCCATTTTCTATGAGTGTTTCAGATATCTTTGCAACCACATAATTTATATATGCATTCATTTATTTTAATCAAATTATATGATTTGAGAGTGACAGCTATGATTCTTAACAGTGTATGCCCCTTTAACCATTTTTTTAAACAAGTTCTTTATAGAGCTATAATCAAACCTTAAAAAATATTCTGAGAAACACATGAGTCGTATTTAAAAGTATTTTATAATATCTAGAACAAACCGGTTTCTGGTGTACACAACAGCTGTCCAAACCAAACCTGTATCACATTGCCAGCTGTTGACAGGAGTTCAGCTGGACAATATGTCTGCCAGGTGAAAACGAAACTGCAAAACGAAAAGCTGAAAAATTATTAGATTCCTGATGTTTGAAAGCTTGGTAGAAATTAAAATTAATATCGAAAGTCGTCTTTATTGTTGTATTGATAGTTACGACAACGACTGTATTGATAGTAACGACAACGACTGTATTGATAGTAACGACAACGACTGTATTGATAGTATAGTAACGACAACGACTGTATTGATAGTAACGACAACGACTGTATTGATAGTTACGACAACGACTGTATTGATAGTAACGACAACGACTGTATTTATTAAGGCATCAAATGGTATTGGTGAGACTGCTTCAGCGTCTATAGATGTTCTTGTTCAATGTGAGTAGAAATACTATTTTTTTTAACGATTTACTTGTTAATATCATTTCACTAGATATTGTCTACATAAAATGTAACAAAGTTCCTGTTTATTTTCAAATGTTTCCCAACATTTTAATGTCATGATGAAAGTTTTAACCACGATTAAATTCCACAAAAAAATAAAAATAAAATTTTCTTTTTTTCTTGTATATATACTTTAAATTCTTTTTTAGGATCACTTTTGTTTAAAACTGGAATTAATGATTCGGGTTTTTAGCGTGAATTACAGATGTTTGTATGACTAAAGAATGTGAATATTACAAATTTTTTCTGTATTTTTCCGCATGGTATCTCCGAAAAAAAGTGCGTTTAGGCTTTTAAGCTTTCAAAATGTAGTCGAAATGTCCTTTCCTAAGATTTACAAAAAAAATCAAATATCTTGTTTTTTTTTATAAAAAAAATCTCATAGAAAATGCCCAATTTATTTTATTCTAGATAACCTAAACGCACTTTTTCAGAGACACCCTATATGCATATATAAAAATTTACAAACGATATATGTACTATGTTCAATGTACAGATGGCCCCGTGGTGAAGGTACATGAGCCAAGTGTACAGGGTGGTTCAGGAAAACAGATTCAGCTAGCCTGTCAGGAAATTTGAAAATAAAAACTGAAATATGTAAACATTTGAAATGAAAAAATTGTTCTTAAAGGGGGTGACCGGCAATGTATGGTGGTTGAACTAAATATGTATACGTAGTATTGTGGACAATTTTTTAAGATTCATTTGAGACATATAAAATTTTGTATGACGTATATTTCCTGAGTTTGAGCGCAAAGTCGACGTTCAAAATCAGGAATTTGGTTGGGTACATTTTCAGAATAGGTATTTTTTTTAATTTTTAAATAACGACGACAAAAAATGTAAACAAAATTTTACGATAAACTTATTAGTTATTTAGGAACAGGTTGAAGAAATAAAAATTAACTCTTATCATTGAAAATAAGTAATCATACTCAATTATTAGTTTCTATAATCTCTCATTATTCACAGAGATTTTCTGCAGATTATCTGGAAATTTTGTTGAAAAAAACGACATTTGAAGAATTTGAAGAAATCTGCGAACAAATTCACAGAAAATCAGAAATTCAATATAATGATGAAAACAAAATAATTGATTCTAACATTTATTGTCAAATTTCTTTTAAGAAATATGTTCCTAAACATCTAATAAGTTTACTATAGAAGTTTTACTTTATTTTTTGTCATCGTTATTTAATAATTTAAAAAAGCGATTCTGAAAACGTACCCACCCAAATTCATGATTTTGAACACGGTGGACTGAGCCAGTGGGGTCGGTCAAATAGGCCTATATAGGATTACGCTGGGTACTGTAACAAGTCAGAACGCGCCATGGGAGTTGTCATGGTTAGCCCTCCGACGAGACTATGCCAAGAAAATTGACCCCTGTCGTATGTTAGTCTGGTTAGGGCGACGTACTGTATCATAGGATCGGGTCAGTACACGCTGTTATCTGGCAGGCCATTACAAACTAGGCAGGTCCTGTTCGAATTCAAATTTACTACTGCCCAGAGTGTGAAGGTCGAACATTAAATGTTTTAAACTATGAATTGTGATAAACCAAATAATCTTAGTTTGAAATACTACAGTTTTAAATACATATCAAAAGCCTACACTCTTCAATAATGGGATGTAATGATATAAGGATTAGAAAATTTGAGTTTGTCTCAAAAACTCAATTCCTTTTTTCAAATACAAGTTTTAGAGTTTACAAATAGTCTATTGATGTCAAGCACTTTCTTACTTCTAACTGTTGCGTCTATAAAGAGAAAATTGTTAAAAACGACTAATACTGAAACACGTAACGTATTTCTTTCAAAATTTGTATAGACGCTACGCTTTTCGGTATGAGTCGTTTTTAACAATGTCTCCATATAGACGCAACAGATAGAAGTAAGATTCACTCTAAGAAATCTCAAATTTTCATCTAACAAAATTTGTTGGAGCACCGGACTCAAATACACCTTAGTAGAATCATTCGTCAAATTTTGTTGAATGTATTTTCAGTCGCCTTAATTCAAAGTTTGTTACATGATCTATCAACCGGTGTTTGTCCGCTCGCTGTGCCGCGCCTCCATATAATTATCATCTCACAAAGTTTGTTTCATGTCGATTCAACCAGCGACACTGCGCGGTTTAAAAATTAGCATGCGTCAAAATTTGTTGGATGTCCCTTCAACTTACTGCGCAACTATGTAATCATTTGTTATATGATTATTCAGCTTTGAATCTAGACCCGTCAAAAGAGGTTGTTACAGGTGGCGCCACCTATTCTCTCAATATTTGTTTTAACTAAATTCAAATTGTTTGTTACATAAATATCCGGCTGTTATGTAAAATTTCAATTTTTTTTATACAATTTATTAGTTTTTAAAACGCATAAATCTGCAAAAATGCAATTGATAAAAACAAAAATTTAAACGTCATAAGTTTCAAGTTTATCACATTTTTTTATAATACAAATACATGAGGCAGAAATATAAGATCTTAATACAAATCTTTAAAGTAACATGCAGCATAAGTTTTGCTGTTTATAATACACTTTATTACAATTCAAAGCTTAAAGAACTGGACATCAATTAATCACCAATTTAGACAACATTTGATTCTTGTAGAAGTAGATTCTGCAGTCTGAATTATGGAAGATTTGGTTTTGCATTGATACTCTCTTTCAAGCAAAGCATTGAAAATGCAAGCATTAGTTTGAGAGAGTGTACAAAGGCTTAAAAAAGTTTTAATTTTGTTCTTCCAGTTTCTTGGAGGTTTCCCTTTAAATCTTTTTGAAATCTCCAAATTTCCAGATCGAATTGACGTAGGTACAAGCGCTGTCGGCTAACAGACTAAACTGTCTGTCACTAATTGGAAAGTCAGCTGATTCTCCCCCTCCAGCCAGCCGTGCGAGCCGTGCCAGCCCGGCAGATGGTTCAACGTTTTGATTGATCATAAATCAAAATTTGTTTAATCTTACACAAACTAAAATATCGGCTAATTACAATGAAAGAAAACTGTAACATGACAAAATAAAGATGTCATATAACAAAGTTTGACACATGCTGAGAGAACAATGTGTAAGCTATTAACAAGTATTGTTAGATTGTAATTTTGGAAAATATTTAACTAAATTTGAGTAATGAAAGAAGAAATTTGAAATATGAAAGAAGAACTTTGATGCCTGATGCTAAAGACCAAAATTGCATTTTTTAGAGTGTTAGTAGCGATCAAAAGCGCTTATTTTTCGCCGTAAGCCTATACCCCCTTTCATTTTTCGCGAACACTTCCTTTAATCCGGGGAGGGGGGGTAGAGAGAGTGGTGCTTCCCTCTTTTCCACTGTCCTCCAATTTTCCTGATTCACACTCGGTTCCATTTGTTTTATATCTTGTCCCACGAGCAATTAAACGAGCTATTAAACCAATCATCAAAAATAACATGTGTCACAAAATAATGGAATTGAAAATGACTTTAGAGAAAGGAAAAGAGTTGCACGTACGATTGAAATCTTCAATGTTTCCAATCCTAATTCCCCTTATTAAAGCTTAAGCCATCAGGTTACCAATATACAGGGACTTGAACATTTGAGTTTGTGACAAAGACTCATTTTCTTTAGAGTTAAAACAGTTAAATCACGAAATCATGAGCTACATTTCTTAAAATCGATTTTATTTAGTCAGAGAATAATAAATGTTAATTTTCAAAAACAATTTTCACAAAAGGTTTTTTAATAAATCAGAGACCTATAATGAAACTGAATTTGAAAAAGATTTGAAATACTATATATCTGGTTTTTTAATAAATCAGAGACCTATAATGAAACTGAAGTTGAAAAAGATTTGAATTACTATATATCTGGTTTTTTAATTTATTATTAACAGCTCTAATATACCTTTTAATTAGGCATGTATGGCCTAAGACCTGAGTACGATCCTGGCTCTGATTCTCATAATCTAATTATTGAAAGGTAACAACGGTGGCAATTTAGATAATTTGGGAAAAGATTTGGAGACTAAGCTGCTCCTGAGACTAATATAAGTTCAAAGCCTTGAGTTTAATCTGAAATAAATTAATTCGAAAAAACTCAGTAAGTCTGGTCTAACTTAGAACAATTGAGTTGAAACATAGAGATTTATATAGACTAAGCTTTTAAATAGCCTTGTGAATCGGGCATTTCCATCTTTGCTTGAAAAGTCACTTAAAATTACGCTTACAGTCCCTTTAAACTGAGAATTTATTATTTAATATTATTTTTATTAATTTAGGCAAATCTTATTTTGTTGGACATCCTGTAGATATTCAAACTTAGAATTATTAATTTTTGATCTGAATTCACTTTGAAGTGAACAGAACTCAACTTAACCCAACTTTCGTAAAATTCAACTTTTTCTCTTTTATTAATATTTAAATATTTAAAATTATTCTTTTTAGAGAAAATGTAAAATATGCATAATAAAAGGAATGTTCCTAGTTTAATGACAATTCATTAAAATGTCTGGATACGATGTTGGAAAAAAGTTAACATTTTTTTCGTAATTTCGAAAGCATTTTAAATTACGAACATCAGTTCAATTCAGATTTTGAGAGACATCGAAAGAATTTATAAAAAGTAGTCTTGACATTTGTTCAATACGTTTTATACAAGTACATACATATCAGAAATTCTAGAAACAAATAAATAGCTTTGAAATATGCGGGAAGTCCTAAAGAGCTCCACATAATTCACTGTGATTTTAAGGTTTTAAGTTCTCAAGCAAAAATCTATGGGTTTTTTTCCAATTTTTTCTTGAAAACCAATGCTTTATGGTGCTAACATGTACATGTTTATGGTGCTAACATGTACATGTTTATGAGTTGAAGTGGTAAAATTAAAGCCCAAGGTGTTGTAACACTTCAAAGTCGACCCTGTCATGAAAATGATGAGACTGTTTATAAGCAGGCTAAATCTATGTGAATTATTCAAATCCGTTTTCAGAAGTTGGGGACACAACTAATTTTTATTTAGGTCATAGTAATTGAGTTTTTGCCACAAACTCTGATTGCCTAACCCCTATATCTTTAAAATCCGATGGTTTAGTTCTTTTGATATTTAAAAACTATTTATTCTGTTAAATTAAAAAGTCTAGTTTTGAAATATTAAACTTTGCACAATATATATGATTAAAATGTTCGATCTATATTTCTTATTTTATAAAAAGTATTTAAAGTAATTTTAATGGATTGTAACAGACAAAGATGGACATATCTGATTCACAATGGTACCCTTGAAAGCACCATCGTAATTCTGACTTGAAAAGTGATTATTTTTGATAATTTCTGAGTTGCTTCTTATAAATCTTGTAAATCGAGCATTGCCGTCTTTACATGGAACATTACTTGCAATTAAGGTAGACCCTTTAAAAGTAAATATTGGATTATAATACAAATAGTTTGAATAAAGTCAATATCTACTGAATTATAATTAGTCTGCACTATATCCTATTTAGAATTCAAAAATACTCCCTCCATCTTGGTACTTTTCGACATAGTTTTAAATTTCCGTTTAAAATAATTCTAGATTATTTGGTCTTCAAAGGGCTTCAGAAAGATCTATGATGTATGTTCTAATTAAAATTGTATCATCGTTCGATTTTATTAAGATTAGTAAAAATCTTACTCTACACGCACCTCTGTTCCTTTAGTAAAAGTAAACTCTACCTTTATGAAGCATAAAGTCTGACCGCGTCAACCTTGTTGCACAGCACCGGCTAGTCCTGTCCATAGAGCTAGGTATAGTACAAACTGGGACCGGAAAGGTTGACCCAGCTCGGAAATTCAAATGTACTACGGCTGCCCGTGTCTAGCCAAAGATATTAACCAAGTCAATTTTTCAAACGGTTGGTACACTCGTTTTGAAATATATCAATTCATATCAGATTTGAGGGATGTCCTAATGTCCCCAGACTCCCCCTCTTATAATGAATAAACGAAGACCAGAGCCTCATATATTTAAATTATCCTGATTTTACTTCTCTTTACTCTTCCCCAGTTTAAAATAACTTTTCCTCCTTTCAAACTTTTTCCATTTATTTTAGAAAATCCATGAAAATGCAAAACTTAAAATGTTTGGTAGATTTTCTCAACTCAGAAAATCTATTTGGTTTGGTGTAAAATGTTAATAACAATTTTTTTGTATGTTGCCACTTTGTTTTAGCATATTTTATTTTGAAATTTTTTTTGTAGCTAATTTTTTTTAAGGCTTAAATTTGTTCAACTATAAAAACTTTTTCTAAAAACATCCTCAGCAATCACCTTACCTTTTTATAACATTAACTATTTTCAGTTAATTCTCATAAAAATCGAAAGATTTTGAAATACTCTTAATCGAAAATATCTTTACTGGTTAAAAAATCATGGTTTTTAAATAAACTTTTATTTCGTGATATTTATTTCTATTTATTTCAATATACCGATGTACATTATTAATAGAGTAGTTTCAATCCAATTGATTTTGTCTGTTTTAAACCTTGAATAAATAGATTAATCTTCTGTCCAATTGCATTTAAACATTTTTCTCCGAAAATTGCATTTTTCAAAAATATTTATGTTTTCTAGATCAGATTCGGGGAGCTTTGGGAATTATACTTGTCAAGCTTCTAACAGCGTTGGAACTATTAGGTAATTACAAAGTACATAGTACATGTACATGCCGTACTGTATAGTGTACATATATAAATCATGTTCAGTGTGTGTGCACAGCTAATTTGATCTTTTTTCTTCTATCTTCTATCTTCTATTTTCTATCTTCTATCTTCTATTTTATCTTCTATCTTCAATCGTCCTTCTTCTATCCTTTATCTTCTATTTTTTTCTTCTATCTTCCATCTTCTATTTTATCTTCTATCTTCTATATACTATCTTCTATTTTTTATCTTCTATCTTCTATCTTTTATTTTTATCTTCTATCTTCTATCTTCTATCTTCTATCTTCTTTCTAGCTCCAATCGAATCCAATTTTCTTTTTGAATGAGTTCCCTCTGCAATTGAGATCTAACTTTCCATCTATCTATGTTGCTATCTCCATATCTATTTGCTTATCTTTTCATCTATGCATTCCTATGTTATCATTTATCTTAAATCTGTATTTATCTTTCCTTCAGTTTATATATCTATCTTTCTAATATCTATATAACAAATCCATATGTATCCCTTATCTTTTTTCTTCAGTTTATATATCTATCTTTCTAATATCTTTATAACAAATCCTTATGTATCCCTTATCTTTTTCGAAATTTCGTCTATTTGTATAGTATCAATCATGTTACTTTAAACTGCCTTTTTTTGTATTTGTTTTCAAAACTTATTTGAAAGACCTTAGAATTCACATCCTTAAAAGGCTTTGCCACACAGTAAAATTTTCTAATACATATATCTTTGTAATCTGATGGTTTGCAGCTTTCATATTTCAAACATATATTAATTGGTCCTGTGCAATTTATTTCAGGTCTACGACATTTGATTGCAAAGAAATAGGGATTAGAAAATCAGAGTTTTTTTTTGCAAAAAGATTCAATTCCTTTTTCAATATTGAGTTCTTAGCTTGATATGAGAGTCCAGCATTACAAGTATGCTCTTGAACCACGTGCACTGTCCCCTGAAACATATTCCAATCTTCCAATTCAATTTAATTCCATTTCTATCATTTCCTTTTTATTACAGAATTTTACATTTAGATCCCTCTCTGCCAATTTTAGATAACAATCCTTCCTCAATCATTCAACCAATAGCATATGGGGGGGGGGGGTGTCTAAAGGGAGTGTCGTCGTATATTGAAATAAAAAATAATTACGTTGTTTTTACTGGCTACAAAATGTGCTTTATCCTGATACTTTCACCCTTTTTGACGAAATATGCAAGTACGTCGTTTTTTTCCTTTATGGAACACATATCGTTTTGTAAATTAATCCTTGAAAGAGCCATCTGTATTGATGAGTCATAAGGCATCGTTAACAATTACACTTATCGTTAGTATTCGACTATGATGATTAACTAGCATTAATAACTCAATCAATAAAGAACAGTGAACATCTTGGAAAACCGTTATTTAAAAAAGTAACAAAGATTTTTGGAACAGGGCAATTTTCAAGATGTTAGGTAATTTCCAAAAAGCGCTCAGCCCTAAACCCCATCTTAGTCGCCAATATATAGTTCCTTTATCATGCCCAGTCCTAATTGTAGTACTGTTTATATAGTTCCTTTATCATGCCCAGTCCTAATTGTAGTATAGTAAATACTGTTTATATAGTTCCTTTATAATGCCCAGTCCAAATTGTAGTTTAATTAATACTGTTTATATAGTTCCTTTATCATGCCCAGTACTAATTGTAGTATAATTAATACTGTTTATATAGTTCCTTTATCATGCCCAGTTCTAATGGTAGTTAATTAATACTGTTTATATAGTTCCTTTATCATGCCCAGTACTAATTGTAGTTTAATTAATACTGTTTATATAGTTTCTTTATCATGCCCAGTCCTAATTGTAGTTTAATTAATACTGTTTATATAGTTCCTTTATCATGCCCAGTCCTAGTTGTAGTATAATTAATACTGTTTATATAGTTCCTTTATCATGCCCAGTCCTAGTTGTAGTTTAATTAATACTGTTTATATAGTTCCTTTATCATGCCCAGTACTAATTGTAGTTTAATTAATACTGTTTATATAGTTTCTTTATCATGCCCAGTCCTAATTGTAGTATAATTAATAATGTTTATAAAGTTCCTTTATCATGCCCAGTCCTAATTGTAGTATAATTAATACTGTTTATATAGTTCCTTTACCATGCCCAGTCCTAATTGTAGTATAATTAATACTGTTTTATATAGTTCCTTTATCATGTCCAGTCCTAATTGTAGTATAATTAATACTGTTTATATAGTTCCTTTATCATGCCCAGTCCTAATTGTAGTATAATTAATACTGTTTTATATAGTTCCTTTATCATGTCCAGTCCTAATTGTAGTTTAATTAATACTGTTTATATAGTTCCTTTATCATGCCCAGTCCTAGTTGTAGTATAATTAATACTGTTTATATAGTTCCTTTATCATGCCCAGTCCTAGTTGTAGTTTAATTAATACTGTTTATATAGTTCCTTTATCATGCCCAGTACTAATTGTAGTTTAATTAATACTGTTTATATAGTTCCTTTATCATGCCCAGTACTAATTGTAGTATAATTAATACTGTTTATATAGTTCCTTTATCATGCCCAGTTCTAATGGTAGTTAATTAATACTGTTTATATAGTTCCTTTATCATGCCCAGTACTAATTGTAGTTTAATTAATACTGTTTATATAGTTCCTTTACCATGCCCAGTCCTAATTGTAGTTTAATTAATACTGTTTATATAGTTCCTTTATCGAAGTTCATGGCAGACCCTCATCTCCACTCTTCAAAACCAGTAGTCCGGGGGGAGGTAAAAATAATCCGTTTAGCAAAAACATTTTTCAATAAATTATGAATAGCGAATAATGTTTAAAAACGATATTTATAAATATATGAATACATTTCATTTTATTCAATAGTTCTATTTTTGCCTAATAAATTTTATTCTATTATAGATTTAAGCTTTAGCCCCGAAAATGGCAGAAATTACTTTATCGAGAAAGGATAAATTTACGGTCAAACAGCAAAATATGTTTTAAAATATAATGTTAAATTATTTGTTTGTAGGGTCCCATAGTTAGATTTATTTGTGTGTAGGGTCCCACAGTCAAATATATTTGTTTGTAGGGTCCCAGAGTTAAATTTATTTGTTTGTAGGGTCCCACAGTTTAACATATTTGTATGTAGGTCACACAGTTAAATATTTTTGTTTGTAGGGTCCCATAGTTAGATTTATTTGTGTGTAGGGTTTCACAGTCAAATATATTTGTTTGTAGGGTCCCAGAGTTAAATTTATTTGTTTGTAGGGTCCCATAGTTAGATATATTTGTATGTAGGTCCCAGAGTTTAATTTTATTTGTATGAAGGGTCCCACATTTAAATATATTTGTTTGTAGGGTCCCATAGTTAGATATATTTGTATGTATGTCCCAGAATTTAATTTTATTTGTATGTAGGGTCCCACAGTTAAATATATTTGTTTGTAGGGTCCCACAGTTAAACATATATTTGTATGTCGGGTCCCACAGGTAGATATATTTGTGTATAGGGTCCCAGAGTTAAATATATTTGTTTGTAGGATCCCACAGTTAAATATATATATTTGTGTGTAGGGTCCCTTGTGTGTAGGGTCCCACAGTTAAATATATTTGTGTGTAGGGTCCAACAGTTAAATATATTTGTTTGTAGGGTCCCATAGTTAAATATATTTGTTTGTAGGATCCCGGAGTTAGATATATTTGTTTGTAGGGTCCCACAGTTTAAAATATTTGTATGTAGGTCCCACAGTTTAATGTATTTGTTTTTAGGGTCCCACAGTTAAATATATTTGTTTGTAGGGTCCCACAGTTAAATATATTTGTTTGTAGGGTCCCAGAGTTAAATATATTTGTTTGTAGGATCCCACAGTTAAATATATTTGTCTGTAGGGTCCCACAGTTGAATATATTATTTGTAGGATCCCAGAGTTAAATATATTTGTTTGTAGGGTCCCACAATTTAACATATTTGTATGTAGGTCCCAGAGTTAAATAAATTTGTGTGTAGGATCCCACAGTTAAATATATTTGTTTGTAGGGTCCCACAGTTAAATATATTTATTTGTAGGATCCCACAGTTAAATATATTTGTTTGTAGGGTCCCACAGTTAAATATATTTGTTTGTAGGGTCCCAGAGTTAAATATATTTGTTTGTAGGGTCCCACAGTTAAATATATTTGTTTGTAGGGTCCCACAGTTAAATACATATTTGTTTGTAGGGTCCCAGAGTTAAATATATTTGTTTGTAGGGTCCCACAGTTAAATATATTTGTTTGTAGGGTCCCACAGTTAAATACATTTGTTTGTAGGGTTCCACAGTTAAATATATTTGTTTGTAGGGTCCCACAGTTAAATATATTTGTTTGTAGGGTCCCACAGTTAAATATATTTATTTTTAGTATCCCAGAGTTAAATATATTTGTTTGTAGGGTCCCACAGTTTAACATATTTGTATGTAGGTCCAACAATTTAATATATTTGTTTGTAGGGTCCCACAGTTAAATACATTTGTCTGTAGGGTCCCACAGTTAAATATATTATTTGTAGGATCCCAGAGTTAAATATATTTGTTTGTAGGGTCCCACAATTTAACATATTTGTATGTAGGTCCCACAGTTAAATATATTTATTTGTAGGATCTCAGAGTTTAATTCATTTGTTTGCAGGGTCCCACAGTTTAACATACTTGTATGTAGGTCCCACAGTTTAATATATTTGTTTGTAGGATCCCACAGTTGAATATATTTGTTTGTAGGGTCCCACAGTTAAATTTATTTGTTTGTAGGGTCCCACAGTTAAATATATTTGTTTGTAGGGTCCCAGAGTTAAATGTATTTGTATGTAGGGTCCTACAGTTAAATATATTTGTTTGTAGGGTCCCACAGTTAAATATATTTGTTTGTAGGGTCCCAGAGTTAAATGTATTTGTATGTAGGGTCCTACAGTTAAATATATTTGTGTGTAGGGTCCCACAGTTAAATATGTTTGATGTAGGGTCCCAGAGTTAAATATATTTGTGTGTAGGGTCCCAGAGTTAAATATATTTGTATGTAGGGTCCCACAGTTAAATATATTTGTGTGTAGGGTCCCATAGTTAAATATATTTGTGTGTAGGGTCCCACAGTTAAATATATTTGTGTGTAGGGTCCCACAGTTAAATATATTTGTGTGTAGGGTCCCACAATTAAAAATATTTGTGTGTAGGGTCCCTTGTGTGTAGGGTCCCACATTTAAATATATTTGTATGTAGGGTCCCACATTTAAATATATTTGTATGTAGGGTCCCACAATTAAATATATTTGCGTGTAGGGTCCCACAGTAAAATATATTTGTATGTAGGGTCCCATAGTTAGATATATTTGTATGTAGGGTCCCATAGTTAAATATATTTGCGTGTAGGGTCCCACAGTAATATATATTTGTATGTAGGGTCCCACAGTAGAATACTATCCTGGATCACTGTCAGCTACTATCCTCTCACAGAATATAGAATACTTTATAAACAGGTAAACCAATATCAGCAAAGGAGTTGGGTTGCTTCTTGATGTACATTGTGTATTTAAAGTTGTTAAAAAGCAAATAGTTTTTCAAGTAGGTTATTAAATCACTTACTAAGCGAAAAAAGTCTGTTTACACTTCACAATTTCTGTGTCTTATGTTCATTGAACTATTCAAAGTCATAACTTGAGCCTTAAGGTCCGGATCTCACTATATAAATAGGGGGGCTGCTCAGGAACACATATTCTCATAAACTTAAACTGTATCTTTTTTAACATATCTCTTCTCCTTAACTTATTAGATATCTCTTCTCATAAACTTTAACACTTTCTCTTTATTAANTTAAATATCTCTGCTCATAAACTTGAGCAGTCTCTTTATTAACATATCTCTGATTTAATTAGTTGAACAGAAGTGAATGGATTTCTGTCTCAGTACCTGGGAATATCAGGATTAAACGTCAAACTCAGGTGATAGATAGATATAAAGAAAGATAGTTAAATAGATATATAGATATCTGATTTATATACAATTCTTCTAAATCTAACACTCTCAGATCCGTGAAACAAAAACTCTTTTTGCCAAATTTTCGGTTTATTCAACCATCTTCTCTAAAAAACATACAAAATAAGTGACTTGAATAATAGATGTTTAAAATTTAAAAGAATTAAAAGATAAAAGTGATAGATAGATAGATAGATAGATAGATAGATAGATAGATAGATAGATAGATAGATAAAAAGAGAGATAAATGGATAGATCGATAGATAGATAGATAGATAGATAGATAGATAGATAGATAGTAAGATAGATAGATAGATAGATAGATATATAGATAGATAGATAGATAGATAGATAGATAGATAGATATATAGATAGATAGATAGATATAGCACGTATACGTGGGGTGTATATTGATAATAAGAAAAAAACAAATAGATAATTATGGATAAATAGATAAAAAGATTAAAAGATAAATAGATAAATAGAAGATAAATAGATAAAAAGATTAAAAGATAAATAGATAAATAGAAAATAAATAGATAAAAAGATTAAAAGATAAATAGATAAATAGAAGATAAATAGATAAAAAGTTAAATAAACAATAGGATAACAAACAGGTAGATAAATTGATGAATAGATGAAATGACTAAGCTTGCAAAAAATAAGAAAAATATTCTAAATTGATTTATTTTGTTGATTTATTGTTAACTAAACCATTCTAAAACTTAAATTAATTATGTTTTGGTTGAAATCTGATGAAAAGTTGATTCAATTCAGTTTGTTGATTATAAATCACGAATCAGGATATTTGGAAACTTACAGTCATTCAATAATTTTAACAAAATTTACATTGAACCAAACATTTTCGTTCTAAATCATACAAGGTGTCCTATTAATTGTGCCAATTTCGAAACCTTAATAATGAACAGAAATATAGTTTTGAAGACATTTTTAACATACAAATACGAACTTTTTGTTATATCAATTAGTTCACTTATTTTTCTTTAACGGTTATTCAAATTGGCCACCTTCCTCTGGAATGTGCATAATTTGGCTCTGGTAAAAAAATTATCAGCAACCCTCAGTAGAGTATCCCGTGAGATTCCCTTGGCAAAGTTCTCAACAATCACTCTCTTGAAGGCTTTCAACAAGATGAACAGTCTTCTTGTTAGTGGTGGTAAAGTTAACAATGAAAACCCTGTGAAGCTGAGTTAATCACTCGTCTGAAGAATAGTTCTGAACAAACCAAATCTTTAGAATACACCATATTAGAATATGGCTCAAATGAAATAACCAAATTTGCGAATTTTTTGGTATTAGAATTGTGAATTTTCATTGTATACAACAAAACGTTCATATTTTGATCACTCAAATTTTTTTAAGAGATTGGAAAAAATTTCAAAGAATAACAAGGTAACAGCAATCTGAAAATTGACAAAATTAAAAGAACACCATGTATATGAAAATTTGCCTTAAAGTGTTTCTGTTAAATAATGCAATATTTCCAAATTTGCAAAAGTGTTAAATTAATTTTGAAAACTGTTTATAACAATCTAGACATGTGTAATTTTAAATAAATGTTCGTTTTTAAATACTTTCGGAAAATTCGATAATATAACAAAATGTCCTATAAAAGTGAATGTATGAATGTCTGGTGCCTCGTGTATAAACTTTAATAAAAGAACAATCCCTTTAAAAATAGAAAAGTATATATAACTGTTCTACAAATATTGAAAGGTATATGTTGTTGGATTTTGATTAATGGACGACGGATTTAATCCATTTCTCTGATGGAAAATATAATTAATTGAATTCTTCATCAAAACATTAGTTCTAACCTTTCAAATAAAACTCACCATCAAATAGAGAAAATCTCTTCTTCTCGACGGAGTTTTAAATTTTGCGGCGAAATTTTTTTTAAATCTCCAAGAAAAAAAAATTTGAAATTCGAGTCCGGGAAAAGATCTTCAGTATTGGAGACCCCCATGGACGTCTTGTTGGAGACCCCCAGATTTTTAATGAAGACCCCCAGATTTTCATTTGGAACCCCATATATTCGTTGGAGTTCCCCATATTTCATAGGAGACCCTCAAATTTTCATTGGAGACCCCTATATTTACGTCGGAGACTCCCATCTTTTCGTTGGAGACCCAAGATTTTCATTGGAGACCTCCATATTTGCATGGGGACCCCGAAAATTTTCGTTTTTAGCCGTCTTCAATGAATTTTTGGGGCTCTCCAATGAAAATATTCGGTCTTCAATGAAATGATGGGGCTCTCCAATAAAAAGCTGGGGGTCTCCAACGAAAATATGGGATCTCCAATAAAAATCTGGGGGTCTCCAACGAAAATATGGGATCTCCAATAGAAATCTGGGGGTCTCCAACGAAAATATGGGGTCTCCAACAAGAATCTGGAGGTCTCCAACGAAAATATGGGATCTCCAATAAAAATCTGGGGGTCTCCAACGAAAATATGGGGTCTCCAACAAGAATCTGGAGGTCTCCAACGAAAATATGGGGGTCTCCATCGAAATCATGGAGTCTTTAATGAATATCTAGGGGTCTCTAACTAGACATCCATGGGAGTCTCCAATAGTACTCCAATGCTGATTTGTTCCCAATTTGTTCCCAAGGAAAATTTTTTTTATGTTTCGAATTTTATCGAAAATGTCCGGGATAATCTTTAAATTTGTTTTCGAAGAATTTTGCAAAAGAGATTTATCGAAAATTTGACTTATCAAAATTTTGCGAAAGAGAATTATCGAAAGTTTGCAAACCCAAAGACCGCGCCAGGATATAAATAACAAAAATGTTTAAATAACGAATATTCACACAAAGTAATTTTCCCCACCTAATTGGGATGTTTTGTCAGCCATTGTAAACTATAAAACTTTTTGTAGACTTTGCCAAGTTTGTTTAAATTAACATATTCAAACAGTTGGATTTAAGAAGTGCTTAGGTACTAGTTAGAAGAGGGTGGAAATACTTCAAGAAAGTATTTTCAAAAGTAGAAATAAATTATAAATAGTTTAATAGTAAAAAAATGTTCCGTTATCGATCTTTCCCGGATTTAGCTTAGCTAAAGTTATTCATTTATGCAGTTTGATTTCAGAACACTAACATACTAAAATTATAAAGTGGCATATCCGATACTATGTTAGTGTTTATACTAATATATCCGATAAACAACGATATTTTTAATTCTTCAGTTTAATTTTAAAATTTAATTACCATACAATGCCTCCAAAACATAAATCTGTAACTTTTTAGATAAATCGGAATTGAAAATAACTAATTTCAGCCAGAAAAATAAGAATGTGTAATTTTTTTCTTGATCAGAATTTTTTTTGTAAATCGGACATGCCACTATTTTCAAAACAGAGGTTCACAATAACCTCTTTAAATAAAGTACCTTTAGTAACATTAGTTCAAAAGTTGCAGGATTCCAACCAGTTTAGGTCTAGTCTATACACGGGCAGCCGTAGTACATTTCAATTTCCGAGCCGGGTCAACCTTTCCGGTCTCAGTTTGTACTGTACCTAGCTCTATGGAGAGGACTAGCCGGTGCAACAAGGTTGACGCGGTCAGACTTTATGCTTCATAAGGGTTCAATTTACTTTTACTAAAGGGGCAGATGGGCGTGTTTACCATCCCAGTCCGTCTAGTGTACCTAGGATACGGTTGATTTAACGCGTTTTATGCAACAGAATTAGACGGGCTGAACTTTAGATAATTCAGATGAAAAAACAAAAACATTTTTTAGTCCATATTCAGGGTGAATACGAGGTTGACTGGAGTTTAAACAATCTTAACGTAAACACTGATTATGATTCAATAATTCAGGTTAGTATTCTTTTTTAATTATTATTAGATTATGACTTTTAAGTTGTTACCTATCAATTATTAATCATTAATTATCAAATATTAAATACTAATTATTTATTATTGATTATCAATTATTAATTGTTAATTATAAACTATTAGTTCTTAATTATTCATTATTAATTATTAATAATTATTAATTATTAAGTATTAATCATTAATTGTTATATAATTATTAATTATAGATTATCAATAATTAATTTTTAATTTTAATTACTATCTTATTATTAATTGTTAATTATTAATTATTATTTATTATTTATTAATTATTAATTATAGATTATTTTTTGTCAATTATAAATTATTAATTATTAATGATTGATTATTAATTATGAATTATAAATTATTAATTAGTTATGTTCTTACTTAATAAATCCCTTAATTACACCCTGCTTATGCTGCATTTATCTTATAATGAATTATAAACTATAAACTAAAAAAAAAATAGATTTTTTTTGTTCTCACACCAATAAGAATTCAAATTAAAGAAATGCATATCTTGCTTCAATGTCTAATTTTCTAAATCTTATATCTTTGCTACCCTATGTAGTATAAACTTAGATATTTGAATATTAGAATTCATAGATTAAATAAGATCCACGAGGTTTGGTTGTAAAGATACAAGGATTTAATAAAAATGACTAATATTTTGATTATTTTGCTTTAGGCCCGAAATATCCATGGTTGGGGTAACCCCAGTAACATATTCACTTTTACTACAAACACAGGTATTTAAATTAACCCCAGAACTTTGGAGATATCGAAAGAATTTATAAAATGTCCTGTTGCCAATTTTTTAATGGGTTTTTATACAATCTAAATCTCAGTAACTGTAAAAAAAATAGCTTTGAAGTATGCAGGGACATAATTTTACAAAGATATAAGAGATATAAGAGATATAAGAGATATAACAGATATAAGAGATATAAGAGATATAAGAGATATAAGAGATATAAGAGATATAAGAGATATAAGAGATATAAGAGATATAATTAGTCAATTAAATAATACATATATTTGGAACTGTAGCATTCCATGAGTATAGGTGTAGAAAACGACGTACATTTTATCAATTCGTGTGACGTCTCCGAAGTTCGGGGTTAAACTGTTTATACAATGAGAACCAGAAAATGAAAAAGAGACAATAGTGTATTGTAAATAGACCCATGTCACTTTGCAGGATGAAACTTAAAGGGACTGTAAAGGAAAAATGAAAGGGGGTATAGGCTGAAAGATAATCACTTTAGCTCTTGATCGCGACCCATGAAAGTTATATCTGATATTCCTATCTCGAGAAATTGATATACAACTGTGTCAAATTTATACGAAAATTAATATATATTCAATTTTGCATAAAAGTAGAGGGTTTAAATAGATCAAATTCAGCAAATATGCAACTAATCTGAAAACGATGATATCCCAGAGAAAGCTAATGGTAAATTATTTTTACTCCAATTCTAATTTTATATTTGTTATTTCTATTTTTGATAGATTTAATTCATAATATTATTTATACTTCCGTATTGCTTGACCAGAAATTCCACCAATGGCAGTGCAGTGATACAGGCGGAGACACGTGACCAGTATACTGCTCTGCCATTGGTGATAGTTCTAGTCACGTGATTTAAGTTTAAGATTTTCTAAATTTCACATATATGAACTTTCGTATTATTTTAACACAGTTTTAAATCAATTTCTCGAGATAGGAACATCAGATAAAACTTTCATGGGTCGCGATCAAGAGCTAAAGTGATTATCTTTCAGCCTATACCCCCTTCCATTTTTCCTTTACAGTCCTTCTAAGACAAAAATCAGAATTGTTTGCGTCTTTGCTTAATAATTGTTAAATAAATGTTCCCCGCAGCTTTAAACTTATTTTTGCTTTGTTTAATCATTTACGAACTAAATATTCATGACAGAAAACCAATTTCAAGATCTTCTGAGTTAGATTTTAGAGTCTCATCCTTTTTGCGCAACCCTGTATAGTCCAAGTTCCACACTATAAACAGTTTACCATTACTAGATCTGAAAATAGAAATTCAGAAAATCACTGATCAAAAATTTATTTAATAGATTTTCATACATAGACGATATCAATAGTAAACCTTGTAGGAAATGTTATTTTCCTGGGATTATTTGCTAAAATAAGTTTTGGACCCAAATCTAAGCAAAAAAGTATTCAGTCATAGAAAAGATGAGAGAGACGTGGAATTAAATTAAAATAAAATTATCATTTTAATCATGTTGTTTCGGAAACCCAATCTTCTTGATGCAAAATGGAAAAATTTCGATTTTTATCGACGAAATGGACAAAATGTTCACGAAAATAAGGTCGAACATTTTGTCCAAAATTCGTCGAAATTCGCGAAAATTTTGAACGATAATTAACAAATTTCGTTCGTTCATTTTTGCAAATTTCGTTCAACATACATTTCGATTTAAACCCTATCTAAAACCTAATTGATTCAATGATAAAAACGAAAAATTTCAAAGTTCTAGATTTTATTTATTTAGGAGAATGGACGGAAACTAGAACTTGGGAAACATCTCTCTACTCTTCCTCATCTTCCATCCTGACAACCTATCTTCCATTCATTCTTCTTCCATGCATTCTTTCAAATCATCATCCATTCATTCTTCTTCCATCCTTTCTTTTAAATCATCTTCCATTGGACCTCCTTCCATCCTTGCAATGTATCTTCAATTAAGTCTTATTTTAAAGGGACCATTCACTTATTTGGGTGTTTGAGGGCAAACTAAATAGCCTATTGGAGATTTATTGGTTAGTCTTACTTTTCAAAGACAACTGTGGCCTGAAAAAAACACGAAAAACGTATATTTCTTGCTTATTCTAAAATCAAAAGTTTTTATACTTTATTATATAATGACTGACACATGATGTCATTGAAATATGATAATTTTTGATTTTATTGGGCTGTTGTTACTGAAAAAAAAGCATTTAAATTGTGTCTGTCTATGCAAAGGTATCATACCTTTCCCTGGAATTTTAAACAATAAAGTAAGATTAATACCAATGAAAAGCTAATAGGCTAATTAGTTTACCATGAAATTACCCAAATAAGTGAACGGTCCCTTTAACAGTGAAGATTCAAACCTTCGGAAGTACATTATTTTTGCCTCTTTCTGAAGCGCAATTATAAAGCCATGAATCGCATTTAAAAATGTATTAGATGGCAGGGTATATCCCGAAAAAAAAACTTTAAAGACATCCTTAAACTCTTTAAATATTAAGATCTGAAGGTTTGTTTAAAAATAATAAGTGTAAAGCTATAACACTGGAATTTAAAAAATTATAGATAAAATCTAGCCATTGATGTCGCTAAAGTCATATACAGGATTAACCAAAAAACTCTAAAATAGGAAGTCGACTTGTAAAATAAAGTTATTAATTTAAAAAGTCTAATGAGCATGACAAAGCAATTGTGCAATGTAAACAGACCCATTTCACTCAATTAGGGATTTATTAAGTGTCTATTAAAACTATTTGCTTTCTATTAACATAAAACACATTTGAGTATTGCTGTAATGTCGTCTTTGTAATTCATTGTTTTCTGGTTATCACTGTACTTTTTTGTTAACCCTTAATTTTATTGGAAGAAACAATGTTAACAATTGGATATAATATAATTATTATTGGATTTAAATATACTTTTCAAGGATTCTAACTATTTTAAATGTTAAATTTAATTTTAAAGAGAAGAAATCAAATAATCTATCTCATTTGATACCAAATTTTAATTTAAAAAAAACATGAATTAAGTGAACCTTGGTTCAAGTTGTAGAGAAGAGGTTCAGCTTTTTTACGGAGTTCAACCATCTCTCGCTATTCATTATAAGCGACATAACATTTCTTTGCATTTTGAGCTGAGATTTTAAAAGCTTAAGCGCGAGGAAACCCCAGTCTATAGAAAGACTGAGGCGTGTGTATAACCAAAGTCAGGTTGGCATCTGATTGGTTCTGATTGGACCAATGGGGATTGCTTGGAAATCTTTCTCTGTAAATACTGAAGATCATGGCTCTTACAGCCTGTCCAGATTTACAGGCGTAAATATTTACATATATCTATCATTTTCATAGTGTGTTTATTTCAGGAATTGAGTCTTTGCCACATCAAACTCTGATTTTCTAATCACTATACCTTTGGAACCAAATGTTGCATACCTTAGATATTTCAAACTATGAATTCTGTTAGATCAAATAATCTGAGTTTGAAATATCAAAGGTTTACAACATCGAGTTCTAAATATATGGTGGTTTAAATATTTGATTTTGTTCCAAAGAATCAATTCCTTTGGCCTTTTTCTGCTTAGAAGATGGTTTTAATGGGAATGAGGCATGTTTCTAGGTAAATGGAGGGTTTCTTTAAAATAACATGAACAGTCCCATCAAGTTTACTCTAAAATAACATGAACAGTCCCTTCAAGTTTACTCTAAAATAACATGAACAGTCCCTTCAAGTTTACTTTAAAATAACATGAACAGTCCCTTCAAGTTTACTCTAAACTAACATGAACAGTCCCTCCATGTTTACTCTAAAATAACATGAACAGTCCCTTCAAGTTTACTCTAAAAGATCGTTTGAGAAGCGTTGTCAATTGTCTGTATGTTCATGATTGGGTTATAAATTGTGAGAATGAAGATATTTTGTGTATTTATTGTTGGGTTAAGTCTTTGTGGAGCTGGTATTATTAAAAGGGGTGAAGGATCAGAAGATGATACAGTAACTGTTGAGGATAATTACAATGATGATTCTGAGGATTCTTTTGTATCTGAAGAAACCGTGAACGATGAATCTGTTTTGACTCGACCTGGAGGGTATCATAGAGGACATGGGAACTGGACTGGGAAAAGGATTGCTAGATCTGTTGGCAACGGACTTAATGAGCTTCAGGTGTCTACAAACTGCAGAACTGTTGTAGCGATCAATGTGGCTGATCCTGTCTCCTGTTCTAAGATTAAGCAGGGGGAGTTACTGAAGTTCGACGCCGTTTATTCTCCAGGTTGGGGCTCAGTGGTAACTGGAGGTCCTCATGAGAAGGAGCATGGTCAGGCTAACCCGGGTCAATATCAGGGATCTGATCCTAATTGGTTGGATCATTATGGGAACCTGGATATATCAAGTTTACCAGGACGGTGTAGGTATGATCCATACAGGGCTCTCCAGGACCCAACTACTGCTTGTCTCTGTGTTGCTACTCAGGAGACCTGTACCCAGGATAGAGACGGATGTTTCTGGTATGATGATAAGAAGACAGGATACAAGGAATGTATTTCTAAAGCAGAGAAGTTTTATAATCAACTGTATGCGCTTCTCAAGAAGAGGGGAAAGAAGTCCTTTGCTATCAACATCAAGTAAGTTGAATTTTAGTACTTTCACGTAATTGAAATTTAGAAAAGTGACTGCAAATGTTTAGGGCAACCTTTAAAGGGAATTCTTCAACATTATTTTATGGGTGGGCGTTTTGATTTTGTTGCCGGTAAAAGGGAGAAAGAAACATAATTTCACTTAATTTGTTCAGATATGGAGCCACAGGAGCAAGGGGTGAACTTCCACTTGGACCCTATGGTCCTGCCATCATCGGAGCTGGAAATCCTAATCCTTCTTCAACCATGGGTATTTACAAGCAACCTGCCGGGACACAACCTTATCCTAAACCTGCGTCATATGGGCCTCAACCTGACAATTCCTATTCTCAGGGGGGAAGTCTTTATGGCAAAAGTAATCCGCTCCAGGGTGAATACAGGACTGAACCTAGCATGTACCAACCTAACCAATACCAGACCAACCCGTCAAATATGTACCTACCCAACCTGCCAAATTTGTACCAACCCAACCAGCCCGACATGTACCAACCCAACCAGCCCAACATGTACCAGCCCAACATGTACCAACCCAACCAGCCCGACATGTACCAACCTAACCAGCCCAATATGTACCAGCCCAACATGAACGAACCCAACCAGCTTAACATGTACCAACCTGAATTGTACCAGCCCAACATGTACCAACCTGACTTGTACCAGCCAAACATGTACCAACCTAACCAGCCCAACATGTACCAACCCAACCAGCCCAACATGTACCAACCCAACCAGCCCATTTTAAACCAAAATCAGGGAAACTGGAGGCTAGATCAGGGCATGCAGCAACCATTTCAAGGTAATCTAGACATGAACTTTGGACCTCCTTATCAAACTATGATGCAAGGATCTCAGGCTCAGTTTGGTCAAGTTGGTCAATCTGATAATAGGGGACCACAGCAACAACAGTCTGATTATAGGGGACCACAGCAACAACAGTCTGATTATAGGGGACCACCTCAGTAGCAGCAGCAACAACGGCAGTCAAATCCTGGAACTGAGTCTAATGTTGTTCAAACTAGAAAGAAAAGGAGTGCTGAGAAAAGGAGTGCCCACTGTAATGCTAGAAAAGAAAAACATCCTGCTAAGAAAACTGATTCCACCAGCAATTCGTCCAAGTTGACTTCCCCCCAGCGCAGAATTAGACAAAGGAAAACTGGATACAGAGCTTCTTGATTTATTTATTTTATCTATGTAATAAACTTATTTATTTTAAGTTTACTCTAAAATAACATGAACAGTCCCTTCAAGTTTACTCTAAAATAACATGAACAGTCCCTTCAAGTTTACTTTAAAATAACATGAACAGTCCCTTCAAGTTTACTCTAAAATAACATGAACAGTCCCTTCAAGTTTACTCTAAAATAACATGAACAGTCCCTTCAAGTTTAACAAACTCCAATCTTCTGTTTACACTGAAAATCCAAGTTTCCTTTAGATTGCTTGCAATCAATTTAAGTTCTAAATAAAGCAATTAAGTTTAGCATACATACCCCCCACTCACTAAAATAACATGAACAGTCCCTTCAAGTTTACTCTAAAATAACATGAACAGTCCCTTCAAGTTTAACAAACTCCAATCTTCTGTTTACACTGAAAATCCAAGTTTCCTTTAGATTGCTTGCAATCAATTTAAGTTCTAAATAAAGCAATTAAGTTTAGCATACATACCCCCCACTCACATAACAATGTAGGCAGTATATATATATATATATATACACTGTATACTTAACAAGAAATTAATTTTCAAGTATTGCGGGGAAAACAACTTAAACATGTAAACTGAACTTAACTAGGTCGAAATATCATACATATCCAAGACTAAAATAAAGATACAAATTTAAGATTTTAGACAAATATTTAAACTCCCAAAATATCTTACTTCTGCAAAAACCAGGCAAAAAATTTGTTTACAAAGAAATCGTAAGCCTATCTAATCCTAACAAATGTTACGTATGTTATTCAAAACACACTTTTATTCATGTGGGATCTGTATCCTGTAGCTCATGGAACTAAGTTTGTTTAATCCCAAATTTATAGAGGCGAGCCCGAGCAGTCCCATGTCAAACCTCCTCATACATCCATGATCATTACAAATATATAAAAAATATTTTTTTTTGGATTAGTTCCATATTTTTAAATTGTATTTGTGTTAACATAGTCTTCCATTTCGCCTTGGGACCAAATACAAGAAATTAGAAACTAGAATTAAGATTAGAACAGTAGAAAAATTGTAAATTAATCATAAATTAGAAAATTAGATTATGAAAATGTCAATTTTTATAGCGAGTTAATTCTTTTTACGAAGATATTAAAATATTGGTAAAAAGAGAATTTTTAAATTTTTTCTGAACAGACTTCATTTTCTTTATTTGATTACTATTTCTCGGATTGTTTAGGAAAATGAATTCGATTTTAAAACCTCCCATCTTTTATGAACTTTTTACTTAAACGTTACATTGCATTTGTATAAGAATAGCTATAATAGATTTCGGATTTTCCATAAACGAAGGCATTTTTTGTTTTTTTTTCTGTGATAAAAAGTTTTATAAATCCATCCTTCGTCTGATCCATGTGCTACCTGATCCATGTGGCTACCTGATCCATGTGCTACCTGATCCATGTGGCTACCTGATCCATGTGCTACCTGATCCATGTGGCTACCTGATCCATGTGCTACCTGATCTATATGCTACCTGATTCATGTGCTACCTGATCTATGTGCTACCTGATCCATGATGTGTTATGTGATCCATTCTTTACACTGATCTTTCGGTTATCTGACACAGGGTTACCCACTATGGAGGAGAATTCAGATATGACTGTACAAGAATGCATACTATCTATTCCTTATATTTATAATTCCGGCCCCGCAACTGCAAAATTGTGTCTTTTTTTGCCAAATAATTTAATCAGCCATTTTAGGCTTTATCCGAGCTGGAAGCGTTAACCATGGGATCGTCATATTTTAAAAGTTTCAAGTCGTCTTTACAGTCTCATTCTTTGTGGGTCACCCTGTAGAATATAGATAAAACAGTCTGATTTGATAATGTTCTAACTTCGTTCAATACGAGGAACTATATAAATTGAATCATTTCTGGACATCTCTCTATATATAACCATAATTTTATCTAATAATCAGAACTCAGAATCCAGAGGGACATTTCCCGCGTTATTTAGAGGTTTAAACCTTAAAAGAAAGTGAGTGGGGGGGTGACTGCCCGTGTTCATATTATTCTGAATGCACTGAAAACTGAACAAAAGAAGAAGGTCAAATGTAAACGACATTTTTGCCACCACGGGCAGTCGAAGTACATTTGAATTTCCGAGCCGGGTCAACCTTTCCGGTCCCAATTTGTACTGTACCGCACGGCCATTGGGTTAATAAAGCAGACAATCAACGGCCACAACGTTGAGAGCTTGTAACTACTCTAGTACTGATTTTACGCACAAGAAAAAGAAAAGTAAATTTATTATAAAATTATAAAATATTAAAACATTACTGTTCTTCACAATAGCTCTATAATAAGTCGGGTTATGATTAAAACATGTAAAATTTCGTTTTTTCGTGCTATTTAGTTTTACATGAATGTGAAGTTAAAAGTGTTGTAATAATAATTTTTAACAGTGGATTTCAAATACGTTATCGATGCTATAATCTTTCTGCACTAGTCTGTGTCATTTCTAGTGATCCTCCATTTAGGAAAGGACATGCCCGATTAGAAATGGTAACCTTAATCTGAGCCCGCGATTTAAAAACTTCGGCTCGAGCCGTAATTCCTTAAAAAGTGGACTTTAAGGCTCAATCTTCGACCCAACTCTAACGACAGCTTGTGTCACGTGATTACAGCTGCAATATCTTTGGCTCGACTTTAGACGTTAGGCTCAATGAAAATTTAACCGACCTTGGTTGGTTTTACTGAAAAAAGGCTCAATGTTGCGTCTTGTTGTCATAAAAACCCGGAATGCACCAATTCCTGCCATGAAAATTCGCCAATTCCTGCCATGAAAATCTGCCAAATAAAAAATTAAACCAGTTTTTTAGAACTCAATTCTGTGGAAAATAAGATGCAGCTTGAATCCGAAAGCTCAAGCCGTAAATAAAGCCCAACGACAGCTTAGACTCGAGCCGTCTTTTCCCAAAATTTTTAAATTGTGAGCTCAGGTTAAAAATGTGGAAGATAACGTCAATTTTTAGCACGGAAAGTGTTTAATTCTGATACTTCTCCATTGTTTCTGGATCAAGAATTAAGGAAACCTTCTCGCAGTGTGCAAATTGTGAAAAAGAATGAAAATCCATTTCCTCTTTCCTGAGATAATGAAGATTTAGACAGAACCTAATTAAGTAATTAATAAAGATAAAAAACCAATACATTTTTGTAAAAGATAAGAATATATATACTAGCTAGGGTACCCGGCGTTGCCCGTGGAAAAAAACGAATTTTGAAAACAAAAATTACCACAAACTCTTATTTTAAAATCCCTAACATCATGATTGACTTAAAGGACAATCTTTTAGTTTTATGATGTACAAACAAAAAGCGGGAAGGAGAGAAAAATTTAAAATCTAGAATTATTGTTAGAAAAATCAAGAAAAAAAAATTCTACAATCCTAATCTGGTTACCTATCTTTAACTTATTTTTTATATATATGAATCCTTCTTCCTCTATTATATATTAGATTTGTACAAAATATTTACTCATATATATATATATATATGATCTGAGCTGAAAACTTTAGAATGGTGGATATCGGGATTAATGCTTGATCCTCTCTTTTTGATAATCTCAAGATTAACATAATCTTGCAAGATTATCTTAAAAGTTTATGAAAAAGGATAAAATTCAAATTAATATTTATTCATCTGAGAAACTGTAGCAGCCAATCGGAGAAAAGCGGGCAACCAATGAGAGAACAGAAATATTCACATTGGAGAAAACAATTAACGGATATCCAAGGAGAGAGAAAAAGAGTGGATTAGGACAAAAATGAAAAGTTTCCACAGTGGATATTCGGATCAAGAAGTCAGGATTAAAGTGTATCCATTCTAAAGTTCCCAGCTCTGGTGTCTGATTCTGTACAAAATATATACTCATATATATCTGGTATCTGATTTTGACATTTAATAATTATATTCTCTAGTGACTGTCCCAGAAATCTATTAACTGTAGTTCACTAACTTTTTGAAAAATAAAAACCAACATTAAGCATTTTCATCATTGATTGAACCTTCGCTAATAATACAAAAGATATTTCTTAACAGTTAAACTAACAAAGCAACAAACTTTAACAAAGGAGTCGAGTCTTTGCAACAAACTCTAATTTTACATATAATCCCTATATCATTGCAACCCAATGTCGTAGATCTGCAGCCTTCTAAGATAAAATAATTAGCACATTTGACTTTGTGGCAAAGATTCAATTCCTTCAAATAATTTCTAGGCATAAATCTGCATAGTGTTTCCCTTGAGAATCGATTTTTTTTTAAAGATTATTAAATAACGACAACGAAAAATGTAAAAAATTCTATTATAACGAAATTTGTTCAGAAAAATTCACAAAAATGTTTTTTCAGTTTTTTCAGGAGATTCAAGAATATGTTTAATTCAGTTTTATGAGATTCAGTAAAGTGTTTCCAAAACCTATTATAGACTTGACTGAAGGACTGAACGTAAAAGACCAAGATTGAGTTTAATAATGAAACATGGTTACACACAAACTATATTTACAGGTTTTAATTTACAAACTGATGATCAAATGATCGATTAACTCTTCTTCAACACGACATTCGCCCATATAGTAGTAACAAATGTATATCCATGAAACTTCTCCTATGAGATTGTTAGATTGTTTGGCTTTATTCTTGGATTGGATTGTTAGGATTTGTTTCTCCGCTTGGGAGCAACGAACTGTACGAATACAAGTTGAGAACCCTTTGGGTTGGGTTCACACTATACTAAACATTTCTTTAATATCAAGAACCTGAAGTAAACATATCTTTTAATCTAACAAAATTTAAGAAATATATTATTTCATCTAATAAACCTGAATTTAACATATTTTTTAGTTTAATGAACTTGAAGTAAACATATTTTCTAATCTAATAAACCTAAATTTAACATATTTTTTAGTTTAATGAACTTGAAGTAAACATATTTTCTAATCTAATAAACCTGAAGTAAACATATTTTTAATCTAATAAATCTGAAGTAAACATATTTTTTAAATTAATGAACTTGAAGTAAACATATTTTCTAATCTAATAAACCTGAATTTAACATATTTTTTAATTTAATGAACTTGAAGTAAACATATTTTCTAATGAACCTGAAGTAAACATATTTTTGAATCTAATGAACCTGAAGTAAACATATTTTTGAATCTTATGAACCTGAAGTAAACATATTTTTGAATATAATGAACCTGAAGTAAACATATTTTTAATCTAATGAACCTGAAGTAAACATATTTTTGAATCTAATGAACCTGAAGTAAACATATTTTTGAATAATGAACCTGAAGTAAACATATTTTTAATCTAATGAACCTGAAGTAAACATATTTTTGAATCTAATAAACCTGAAGTAAACATATTTTTGAATCTAATAACATTAGAGGCTCTATATGAGACCATTGAAGATTTAATAAATTTGATTAATGTTAATATTAACATTCAAATGTTAATGTTAATTGATATTAACATATAAATAAACATCAATTGCTTAAAGTCAATGTTATAGTTAATGTTAATGTTAACTTTATATACTGACAACCATAAACTTTAATGAATTGTTTAAAGTCAATGTTAATGTTAATGTTAATGTTAATGTTAACTTTATATACTGACAACCATAAACTTTAATGAATTGTTTATAGTCAATGTTAATGTTAATGTTAATGTTAATGTTAATGTTAATGTTAACTTTATATACTGACAACCATAAACTTTAATGAATTGTTTATAGTCAATGTTAATATTAACATTATATACTGACAACCATAAACTTTAATGAATTGTTTAAAGTCAATGTTAATGTTAATGTTAACTTTTACTGACAACCATAAACTTTCATGAATTGTTTATAGTCAATGTTAATATTAATGTTAATGTTAATGTTAATGTTTACATTAATGTTAACTTTATATACTGACAACCATAAACTTTAATGAATTGTTTAAAGTCAATGTTAATGTAAATGTTAATGTTAATGTTAATGTTAACGTTAATGTTAACTTCATATACTGACAACCATAAACTTTAATGAATTGTTTATAGTCAATGTTAATGTTAATGTTAACGTTAATGTTAACGTTAATGTTAATATGTTAATGTTAATGTTAACATTATATACTGACAACCATAAACTTTAATTAATTGCTTAAAGTCAATGTTGATGTTAATGTTAATGTTAATGCTAATGTTATTGTTAACTTTATATACTGACAACCATAAACTTTAATGAATTGCTTAAAGTCAATGTTAATGTTAATGTTAATGTTAATTTTAATGTTAATGTTATTGTTAACTTTATATACTGACAACCATAAACTTTAATGAATTGCTTAAAGTCAATGTTAATGTTAATGTTAATGTTAATGTTAATGTTAATGTTAATGTTATTGTTAACTTTATATACTGACAACCATAAACTTTAACGAATTGTTTATGTCATAAACAAAAATTCTGTTAATGTCAATGTTAATGTCAATGTTAAAGTTAAGATAAATATATTTAATCCTTTGACCATAAACCGGTTTTTTCTTGTGTTTTCAAGTTTCTTTGCCAACTATCAAATTTTGTTCACTTATTATACAAGTTTGTACAGTTGCCATGATCTCAACCATTTTTTTGTTCTATGACAACATGTGTAATTTAGAACGGTTAAAACTTTGGGATTGTAACCCCAAAGATTTTACAAAAGAGGCAAGGCTGGGATTTTCAGTTTTTAATAGAATAAATAAAGGAGTTGATGCCCTTGATATAAAAAATCATGTACGGGTTGAATGTAGGAATGAATATCCAAAAGTAATTGAAAATCTAAGATCAAATTTTGAACGTCCAAACACTGAGGCTGCAGAGCAAACTTTCGTTTGGCTAGGACGATTCAAAAGAGTGCTTAACTCCATTGAGCAAAAGAAAACATCATTTTTTTTCTTCATTCTCTTCTTTCGAGAAAGGAATGTATATACAGAGTGGTGTTTTAGTCGTAATATTACACCAAAACTCCCTCAGGCTAGGGGAGATAAACTTATGGTTGCCCCTAATGATTAAGTTCAGTTATTTATTTTTGTCAATTTTGTCTATGTCTCCATAAGTTTTTGATTTTGTATTTATTGTGTTAATTTATTTTTTGAATACATAACTTTGTTTTATTAATGACGATTTATTTAACTTTGTTTTATTAACGACCATTTATTTTTTGTATACATAACTTTGTTATATTAATGACGATTTATTTAACTATGTTTTATTAACGACCATTTATTTTTTGTATACATAACTTTGTATTATAACNAATGTTAATGTTAATGTTAATGTTAATGTTAACTTACTGACAAGCATAAACTTTAATGAATTGTTTAAAGTCAATGTTAATGTTAATGTTAATGTTAATGTTAACGTTAATGTTAACTTCATATACTGACAACGATAAACTTTAATGAATTGTTTATAGTCAATGTTAATGTTAATGTTAATGTTAATGTTAACGTTAATGTTAACTTTATATAACTTGACACGAAAGGGAAAAAAATTCGATTTTTATCAAACAATAATTGAACGAAACTGAATGAATTTTGTTCGTTCATTTTTGCGAATTTCGTTCAACGAAAATTTTGTTGGAAACCCTAATTGTTACCTCTAGCTTCTTGCACCTTTTAAAAATTCTTTTGTAATAGTTTTGCAATTCAACATCTGTGATACAATTAAACGTTTTGTGTACACATTTTAGCACTGTAGATGATCTACTTCCCCATGTAACTGGTGGCTTTCGTGGCAGAGCTATAACAGTTGGGTCTTTACACTATCCACCTTGGACAATATTTGAACGGAATGATAGGTATCAAACAATAAATTATGTTCATGTAAAAGATGTAAAGTGATCACACCAAGTTTTTAGAGGACAAATTACAAAGTACAGTGGACTGATTTTTTCCTTGCTCAATGAAATTTCATACAAGCTCAACTTTACTTATGTTGTGAAAGAGCCAAGTGATGGTAAATGGGGAGACTTGAAGAATGGGAAATGGAATGGAATGATCTCTCAGGTCATAAACAATGAAGTTTTGCTAGCAGCTGCAGCTTTCTCTGTGTCAGCAGAACGTGAAGTTGTAGTTAACTTTACCGAACCAATTGATATGCAGCCATACGCATTTATGTATCGACGACCTAAGGAACTCTCTAGATATCTTCTCTTCATTGACCCCTTTACTCCATCTGTGTGGGCATATATTGCAGCCATGACTGCTATCATCGGCCCAATCTTTTGGGTTATTCACAGATATTCATACTTCTACAAGTACTATGATGCTGTCAAACCCTTTGGTCTTTTCCGTGTTGAAGAATGCGTTTGGTTTGTTTACGCTGCGCTTATTCAACAGGTCAGATTTTACATTTAATTCCGTTTTGTTTATTTGTCTTACTTGATTAAATCTTTTTAGGGAGGAACAATTCTTCCAACAGCAGATTCTGGTCGAATTCTTATTGCTTTCTGGTGGCTGTTTGTTATTGTTGTAGTGACAACTTATTCTGGAAACCTTGTTGCCTTCTTAACATTCCCTCAAGTAACTTAAACATTCCATTTTATTAAACTAGAAGGATTGTGAATGTAATTTCAAGAAGTTACTCAACTGACAAAATTCATCTGTTTTCTAGTTAAAAAAAATATTTTCCTTATTGTTTGTGAAACAAAAATGAAAGCGTACCGACACAAATTTTGCTGTTTAATTGAAGGATCACTTGAAATTTCACCAATAATCAATTAGCTTACCTTATGCTTATTTCTATACTTTATTTTACGATTACAGATTGAATTCCCTCTAAACACACTGGACGATCTTATTAAAAAAGGTAATGGATAACTATTGCACTAGCAGCCATAGTACATTTGAATGTCTGAACCGGGTCAACCTTTCCGTTCTCAGTTTGTACTGTACCTAGCTCTATGTGCAGGACTAGCCAATGCAACAAGGTTGACGCGGTCAGACTTTATGCTTCATATAGGTTGAATTTACTTTTACTAAAGGGACAGAGGTGCGTGATTGGACATTAATTTTGTGTAACAACAAATTATCTGCTTACTTAATAAAAGGCTTAATTGTGAATTAATTAGGAGAAACTGATGGTATCACATGGGGACTACTTCAAGATTCGGTTATTGAGGCCTACTTCAGAGATGCTGAGGAACCAAAGTTCAAATTTATCGGAGATCATGCCATGCGTCACACGTAAGTAAATATAAACTGCTGAATCTAATGTAAATCTTAAGCTGGATTTCTTTACAATCAAGGCTTTTGTTGTTGTTTTTTTCTTCATAATATATTCCTATGTGTTGAAGACCATGGGAATTTTAAAGGAAAATGCAAAATTAGATATGTTATATGTTGTATAATTGAAAGGAAAACAAAACATTTTTTTACATTCTATATACAGTTTCATTAAGAGATAATGAGATAAATAGCGGCGGGATACATTCTATACAGTTTCATTAAAGATAATTAATGAGATAAATAGCGGCGGGATACATTCTATACAGTTTCATTAAGAGATCGTGAGATAAATAGCAGCGTGCATACATTCTATACAGTTTCATTAAGAGATAATGAGATAAATAGCGGCGGGATACATTCTATACAGTTTCATTAAGAGATCATGAGATACATAGCGGCGGGATACATTCTATATAGTTTCATTAACAGATCATGAGATAAATAGCGGCGGGATACATTCTATACAGTTTCATTAAGAGATCATGAGATACATAGCGGCGGGATACATTCTATACAGTTTCATTTAGAGATCATGAGATAAATAGCGGCGGGATACATTCTATACAGTTTCATTAATAGATCATGAGATAAATAGCTGCGGGATACATTCTACACAGTTTTATTAAGAGATCATGAGATAAATAGCGGCGGGATACATTCTATACAGTTTCATTAAGAGATCATGAGATAAATAGCGGCGGGATACATTCTATAGAGTTTTCATTAAGAGATCATAAGATAAATAGCGGCGGGATACATTCTATACAGTTTCATTAAGAGATCATGAGATAAATAGCTGCGGGATACATTCTATACAGTTTTATTAAGAGATCATGAGATAAATAGCGGCGGGATACATTCTATACAGTTTCATTAAGAGATCATGAGATAAATAGCAGCGTGCATACATTCTTTACAGTTGCATTTAGAGATCATGAGATAAATAGCAGCGTGCATACATTCTTTGTGAATTTAGCCTGGGGCACTTGTAAACTGAATCACTATGTAGGGAACCAGGGACAGATCCTAATTCTGAGGTGTTCCAGTTGATAAAAAATGAAGAGCATGTTTACATAGAATGGAAGTCTAAACTGGAAGTTATGATGAAAGAACAATATAATATAACACGAGAGGTTAATCTTGAAAAAAATGAAAATTTTAAAGACAAAAATTATGATTGTGTCAAAACAAATTAAATTTTCTATTTTAGTGTGATTACGCGTTGGGGAAAGAGAATTTCTTCTTTGAAAGAGTTGCTCTGGCCTTTCCTGAGGTTTGGTTTTTTACCAACAAAAGTTATTGAGCTTACTGAAGAATATATTCAATAATTTTGTCCTTGTATGTAGGCATAGAGAATAGAATATATAGAGAGGAATTTAATGGAAAAAAGTGTAAAACGGCCATTTTGTTGTACTGTTTCCATACTGCAGCTGTACTTCACATATTTGTGCTATATAACCTGTTGGGCCCTGGAACATCATTTTATAGAAAATCTAAAATTATTGTTAAAAGAAACCCAAATTATGAAATAGGCTGGTTTCATAATTGACCAATGATCATTTCACATAGACTCTATGCCTTCCACTTTACAAACGATGATTTTCCGTTATAACTATAAATCAAATGATGTTTTTTTTCAATTAATTCATTATAAAGTTTATTTAACAGTTTAAACAAATTCGAAATTGAAATGGATAGTCTAGGGAACATACTGTATTAATGTACTCTACTGCATATAATTTGTGAACATTTACATGATTTGTACACTTTGAACTCCCTTTCAGGCTGAAAGGGACTGAAAAAATTCATACCGAGAGATTCTTTTAATTCCTCTCTATTTATTCTATTCTCTTTGTATGTAGGGTTGGGCAATGGGCATTTACCAACTTTTTCAAGTTGTTTCGTTAACAGTTAGTTCTAACTGATTTAAAAATAAAATCTCAGGTAGCAGTTAGGTTTATAGGGTAGTTTTAACGGTATTTTCCGGTTTTAAAAAGTTACCGTTAGTTAACGATCTCAATTTTATTAATGGTGTTAATGGAAAATTTGCAAAAACCATTCACGTTAAAGGTACTGTTATTACAGAATCAACGGGATTAACAGGGAAAAATACCCAAAAAATAATCGTTAATGGTTAGTGAAATCGTTAACAGCGCACTCGTGAATGGTGTTTTACAATATTAACGATGTTAACACAGAAGACGACATTTAAAACAATAAAACACGTAAAATTATTTTTGTTTTGTTTAAAGATTAATGAAATTTTAAGAAAGAAAGAAAGAAATAACAAAATTTACAGTTTGCACAAAAAATCCGTTTGATTTCCGTTTTTAAGTAATTGTTTTAAAAAACGAATCCATTTTGTTAACGATTTAAACATTAACGGTTTTTTCCGTTCGTTAACGGACTCTTCTGTTTATTTTCGAAAATCTCCGTTTCGTTAAAGGAACATTGTCCAGTCCTACTTGTATGTCCGTACTTTCCTTTCGATTGTTTAATTGAAACTTACTTATGTTAGGACTCTCCGTGGCTCCACAAATTTAACAAAGTGATCCGAGATGTACTTCAGGCTGGTCTTAATCAGAAGTGGAAACAGGTCATTTAAACTTTCAGCTAGTCTGCTGAACCAGTTCAGATGAGACTAGTGTTTTTATTTATCCCTGTAAAATATCAGTTTTGTTTTTACCGGATTTATATAAAAAAGTTTCTTTTATCTGTTCTGAGAACTGATTTAGAATTAAAAGCACAAACAGAAACTTTGCGCTTGGTGTACAGAGTGCAATGTACACACTACACATCATGGATCTTCCAAACCCCTGCCATCAGGAGATGACTGATTGATTGTGCTTAAAATTGTTCATTATATTATTTCTAGCATATCTTGTTGTATACAGGACTTCTGGCCTTCAGACGATGAATGTTCAACAACAGCTAGCGGTGGTACAGGAACAACAGCTGTAGTTACAGTCATGGACATGCAGGTAATATTCTTGACATTCAAACGTTGTTGAAATTAGATTCTTAAAATTACCTTTTGTTTAGGGTTCATTCTACATTCTGTTTTTTGGATGTCTGTTTGGACTCATTTTCTTGGGAATTGAACATCTTATAAAGAACAAGATGGATGCTAAGGGCAAATCTCCAATACAGCCTTTTACACCATAAAGGACGACCTTGCATTATCTCAAGATTCTCTCTATGCAAACTACTGGACGAAATGATAATGATATATTTTAATAGGTTTAAGGAATCTAGATTTAAGGATATTTAGTTTTAACTGTTTTAGAATAAAGGAAACCATCATTTTTAAAACATTCTTTGTAATATGTATTTATTTGACATTTCAGTAAATAAATCCAAGAGATGCATGATCCGAACCGGTTTAATATAGTCTATAGAAGAAAATGTAGACGATTTCTCTACGTTGGATGCTGTTTACCCTATCCAGCCAATTAATAGAGCTGATTTCTCTACGTTGGATGCTGTTTACCCTATCCAGCCAATTAATAGAGCTGATTTCTCTACGTTGGATGCTGTTTACCCTATCCAGCCAATTAATAGAGCTGATTGCTCTACGTTGGATGCTGTTTACTATATTCAGCCAATTAATAAAGCTGATTTGCTGCAGAAATGCGGTCAATTGGAACATTGAGCGCAGGCACTAGGCAACAAGGTTAAAGTATATACAAAGTGATAATTTAAGCGAATCTTAAACTTTTGTATAGGCCGGGAGCCAAGAGTATATTAAATTATTATAATATAGGTTAGAACAGAAACTCCCTTTGTTATACATTAGTAAACCAGCTAACTGGACGACAAGACAACATGCAGGGTGTCTCTATAAACATGGGAATTCAGTGACAAATTCGATATCGTCTAATATAGTGATACCTAATGAGAAAGCTGTAATCTGTAAGAGCTTCGTCTGCTATGTTCACATTTTGTTTGTTTAAGTTTTGACTGTATACGGTTGTACTTAGTAAAACAAGAAAATTGCAGTATACAAACAGAGTAAACTTGTCCGTCTTCACTTGTCATCTTGCGGAGACGTTATAGACACATCTTTGCAGTCTTTTACCCTTTTCATACAATAAACTCTAGCAGACATAATAATATTATGGCTTTTGAAATTAGGTATTACATTGCTAATTAATAACAAAGACGAGAACAAAGATACTTTTCTGGCAGAAAGGAATAAACTCTATTTTTCAAATCCCTATATCTTTGCAACTCAATGTTGTGTACTTTAGATATTTCAAACTATGAATTCTGTTAGACCAAATGATATAAGTTTTAAATATCAAATGTTTACACCATCAGGTTGTTAAAATAGTGATTAGAAAATTTGAGGTTTTCTCTTCATAAATTACAATCTCTTTTCCGGTTTGAAAACAAAAAATGGTTTATTTTAGTATTTATTTCAGGTCCATCATGAGAATTTAAAAATACCTTAACCTAGGGTTTACAAACTAAATACATTGATAAACAAGTCACATGAGCAATATGGCAGTTAAGAGTAAAATGGTGAAGTGTGTACACTTTAACCCAGATCTTTGGAGGCATCGAATTTATTTCAAAAATGTTGCGGATATTTAGTTTTCTAATTGAATAATTATTTGGAGCTCATTAAAACTTTTCCCACACAATTCATAGCTAATTATTCATTTCTACAATTATTGAAATTTAGGTTTATAAGTATAATCCTATTAAAAAAGACGACATTTAATAAATTCTTTCAAAGTCTCAAAGTTTCTGGGTTAAACTGTGTTGAAAACTGTAATCTGACAAAAGTCAGTTATTTCTTAAATCTATGACAGCTGTAAGAATATATAAATGGCAGTTACAGAAAGCTCTAGAAAGTTGACGGTAATGCCCAACTGGAGATACAGGGTGTCACAATAAACATGACAATTTACTGGAGATACAGGGTGTCACAATAAACATGACAATTTATAGACAACATAGTAAGATTTTAAACATGTATGACTTAAAACTAAAGTTAAGGTCAATTCACCATTTTGAAGGACAATATTAACCAGGACTGGATATTAACCAGGACTGGATATTAACCAGGACTGGATATTAACCAGGACTGGATATTAACCAGGACTGGATATTTGACATCAAAATTGGTCGTCTTTTAATTTTCAGGTTAAGAGGGACACACTGTATTAACTAGAAGATCTAATTTCATCTTTCAAAAATGGCGCGTAAATGCTTTTTGAATATAAAACAAAAACCGTAACTAGAAAAGAAACTTATGATGAAAATTCTTAATAATTACATAAAATCTTATTTAATTTTAATCTTCAGGATACATTTATAGTTTCGGGGGCTCAGATAACAAATCTGTCTCAAGCTTTCCTAAATAAAAAATATTTGAAAGTGTGACCAAAAAAATGTGAAGTATGAAGATTGACTGTAAGATGTTGATATGAATAGTTCAAAGACCCAGAAACACAGAAATTGTGCATGATACCCATTGCACAGTCAAATTTCACTAAGATAAGGCTATAACAGTTAATATATACATTACAACATAAATACAATAGGTTTTCTCAAATGCCATCTTTCTATTTCACAGGTTTTTGGGTCCTACTGTATTATTGAACTTCATTGGGTTTAACGAATTTTAAGACCAGAACTATGATATAGGAGGGTTGATTGAATTGATTCAAATTGTATGATTTTTGCAAATTTTCAATGAAAAATGAGAAACAAAGATGGTTTTCAAAGGAGGGGGGGGGGGGGTAAGGATTAGAAGTAAATTGAAAACTTTCAAGGTTCGACTTACACCATTCAGGAAAAAATGAGAACCACAGTTGGCGGCGAAAAAAAACTCCATGTTTTGAAACATTTGAAATTAGAAAAGAAACTTTGATTTTCAAACCTAAGCTTGTGGAGCCTCTGAAGCTGGATTTTCAGAAGCTTGTCCCTCGGCATCCCTAGAATATTTAAAGGATATTAAAGGAATGTTCACTTTTTGGAACAGAACACTCAATACCATAATTCCCTGAGATATATGTAGAGAACTCTGAAAGTTATTCATAAATTTTCTAGACACCCTTGAATTTGAATTGTCGCAATGTCTTGGCCTTTAGTTTTACTTCACCAAATCACATACACTTTTTGTAGCCCTAGACACAGCCATTTTTAAAAAAGCATAGCGTTTGTTCCTAATCTAAGTTTCAATCAACTAATTTGCAAAAACTCTGAAAAGTAAAGTGAATTCCCACGTAAAACTTAAAAATCCAGTTCATTTGAAGTGTCAGACCAACTTTTATATAAATATAGAGGAAAACAGGACGGCGCACCAAATGAATAATCCTCTTGTATTAACGTGACAATAACGCGATAGAGTATTTTAAAAACTTGTGAACAATCCCATTAAATATTCAGATTACAGTATTTCTTACAATATTTTTTCATTTTGAAGATAATTTATAGCTGAGCCGAGATCCAATCTACAGCCGGAGGATAAAGGAAATTTAGGCTTGGCGGATCTTTTATTAGAATTTAAACTTTTGCATTCTGATTGATCAAAGGGACTGTTCGCGACATTTTAAGAGGAATTTGCCCGATTCAAAACAGACCATTGAAACCTTTGTCTGATCAAAAAAGTGGAAAAGTTTGAAAAAATCTTAATGGTTTTTCTACAGTAGAAGTGCGCAAGTCACTTTTGTTTATAAACCACAATTCAAAACAAACAGATTTAAATTTGAAAAGTAAACAGTTTTTAAAATTATGAACATAGATATTTAATTCATCGTTGATTGATTAGACAAATATTTTAATTCCACCGCTGTCAATCAATTTAAATAAAAACTATGTTTACAGATCTAGACCCCCAAAACGATATAAATTTCTTTTTCCCTTATGAAATTTAGTTCAGACCAAGGAACTAATGCAAGGAAAGTTAATTGCGGTCGCGTATACTCTGCGTACATATTGAAACCAGTTCTCTCTGGGCGGACTTTGTAAACAAGAATAGATGCATCAGTGTTCGTTTAGTATCCGAGGAGGTTATAAAAGCATTTAATTTTGATAAATTTTAAAATTTACATGATAGTTTCCTATGACCAGAAAATTTCTTATATTATTTTTGTGAAAATGGATTCCATGTCAGGCCGTGACATCCATCTTGTGTTTACTTTTCCGCCCAAAGACAGTACACTGCAGTACACAAGATGTGTACACTTCTGAAATAACTTTCCTTGCATTAGTACCTTGGTTTAGACTAACAATAGAACTTTTTTAATATATACAAGACAATGCATGCATGCGCTTATTTACATATATTTAATATATACATTCTTCAAATACTAAGAATTTATAAAAATGTGCTAAAAATGTTTGTAATTCCCCATGCAATGTGTGCAATGTGTGCAATGTGTAATGTGCAATGTCAGAAAGTAAGTTTGTATCTACTATATCTTACGCTTAATTCTACGTATAAATAACAGTTTGTTTTTTAAAAAATCACAAATTGTCTTAAAAAATATAACAAATATATAGCTTCGTCAAAAGATGTTTTCATTGTTTTCTGACAATTAAGTGAGCTTTCCCTTTTGCTATATTGCAATGTACCTATCTGTACCCAACTCCTTCCATTTCAATCTGACCTTCCCTTGCAGAAGTTCTGAATTATTAGCATTTCTCAGATACGTTTCTTAACGTTTTTTTTTATCTTTTTCTTTTTTCCCCACACAATGAAAAAGCTAGAACTGAAAAATATTTGATCTGTGATTTAGAGAAATATTGTTCATTTTTAACCTCCCCCTCCCTCCCCCCACACCCCCCTCTCCATCATTGATAGTTGTTGGGCTCATATATAATAATAAACCACCCTTTCCAAGTTGTTTATAAAAAGATGGGGGATATTTTTACCCCTAGTCTTGGGAGTGCTCGTTTTAAATGCATAGGAAATCTCTTTTTGCAGAGTAAAATCTCATAAAATTTTGGCCAGATTAAAAAAAATTTATTTTTGTTTTGTTGCAAATTACTGAGAAATCTAGGCGCGGTGGTAGAAATTTAAATAAAATCCTGTTTCTGGCAATTTACGAGTTTAACTTTTTTCCAGTGGAGAAATTTTTAAAATAATTAAATAACAAAAGGTTTTGTTTGAGAAATCTTGGGGTTTGAAGAAACTGTTATAATCTCAAGTGGACTTTCAACCTTCTATATAAATAGGGGTTTGGACTGCACAATTTACAGTGCACCCTCTAAACCGTTATCTGATCAATAATGTGAAGATATCGTTGGGTTTCTAGCTAACAAACTAATTAATTCTAACAATTTTCTCCATTGTTTCCGAAGCAGAAAGTTGCAAGGCACTTTAAACCACATTTGAAAATAATCAGTTATCAAAGAGAAAATGATGAATATATAAAGCATTCATTAACAGAAAATCATTTAAAGATACCATTGTTAATCGGAGATTCCCCTTAATAAATAGAATGTTACTTTTGATTACAGTCCCTTTTATAGTTTTTAATCTTTTAAATTCTATTTTTGTTAAAATGAAGATTATTAAATTTACTTACTCTCCGATCTGATCAATGGATTTCTCTAGTTCTGAAGTGAGTAGGTCGGATCTTCTCTTCTCCATACTAGCCCGGAGAGTCTTCGTACACTCCAACCTCTCCAACCTTGTCATCTCCGTAAACTTGAGCTTGGAGTTCATAAACACAGCCATACAACGGTTCAACTCACCCCTAGATTAATTATTAATTAATTAATTAATTAACTGTGCATCCAACTTATTTTTATTGACTGTTGAAAGAAATTGGGGGTAGGTCAAACTGTCTTCAGTAATTTTCGACGTATCCAACATGCATCCTTGTTTTAAATGTCCAGTTGCATCTAATCCAATCAGGTTTCACTGACGCGCTTGGTGTTCATTCAGAACCAAATAGAGATTCCAACGGTGCGGTGGTAGGATCTATCTATCTATCTATAATCCAATTAGAGGTCCAGATGTAAAATTAGCTGTACCACTAACCGGAATTTTTTACCATCTCTGAAACAAGGGCGAACGCGTCAATAGCATTAATTATTTTTCCTTCAATCTGATATATGCTTATCTGATAAAATGGGTATAATACTCTTCCTATAGAAATACATTTTTTAATGAGCTATTCGAACTTACATCCATTCTTTCTTAATAGTTGTGGCTTCATCAGGGCAAACCATATTATCCTGGAACAATTTCTCAACACTAAACAAACAAATATTATTTTTTTATAAATCAGTGAAAATTTTACAGTTCGAGTTGCGGTTCATTAAACTGTGAAACAGTGCGCAATAACGTGCCGGGCCCTGTGATTTCCGCGCAATTTTGTGCAATTCCGTGCAATTCCAATTTGAAGCCCTAGATTTGAAACTTACCGTTTGTCTAGCATCATTCTAATCTCCACAAATCCAAGCTGAGCATCCCTCTTAGCTGTATCTTCTTTAGGTTTGAACAAAGATCCCTGAATACAAAAATTATTTTTGTTCTTTCCAAATACAAATACATTATAATCTCACATAGTTGAAAGAGTAACATTGTAAACGACTTGGTGACCTCGTAACTCTTCTATTTTTATATTAGAAGTGAGAATATGAAACTTCTTAATATACCTGAAGGGATTTCATTTTTTTTAAAGAAAAGTATTTGTGATTCAAATTATGTGTAAGACTTCAAACTTATTTTGATAGTGTCCTAATTTTTTAATCCTTTATATCTTTGCAACCTGATGGTATAATTGAAAACCTTTAATATTTAAATTATTTTGGTTTTACAGAGTAAATAATTTGCAATACCAAAGGTAAAGACCATCAGGTTGTTAAAATGTAAAGATTTAAACTTAAAGTTTAATTCTTAAATTCATAAATTTTGTTCTTATACATCTTATACATCTTATACATCTGATACATCTTATGCAACCGTTCAGATTAATTTAATTCCATTTCGATATCCCGCGGTGGTCAGACCTACGCACATGGAAAATTTTTAATGGAGAAATCAATCAAAAACATATTTAAAAGTTCCCACAATGAATATTAAGATCAAGTAAAAGAAATTTGATACACCAAACACAAGTTCCGTGGACTTCTATAAATATACTTTTGCTTGTCTGTCTGGGTGTTAATTTGTTTGTTTATTACCGATAAATGTCAAAACGGCTGAATCGATCGTACCCAATTTTTTTTTTGCGGGACCTAACATGATCCCAGGGAAGGTTTATGGATGGTAAGAATTGAAAAAATTCGCCTGAAAAAACGATTTCGAATTTTCAAATTCCACGAGAAAAATAAATGGATAAAAGAGCAACAATTTCAAGTTTAAATCGACTAAGGTGCGCGAACCTCCCTGGAAGCCTAGTGATGCCTTTTAACCTGGATAATCTCGTCAATCTTGTTTATGTACTCCCCGGTCTGCTCATACTCCTCCCACTCACAGCTCGGCCCGTCCTTCTCCGCCCTGGGGGCAACCTCCTCACCGGAGCAGTACTCCTGAATACAGATGGACATCGTTTTTTCTCGTTTTTCTGTTGTTATTTATTGGAGCCCCTCCTGTGCAAATGTCCAAACATCATTTTTTCATATTTTAAAAAATTAATTATTTATTCATATAGACTGTACAATGTCTGATCGTTATAAGTTTTCTTTTCATCAAACATCAAATAAATATCGAATATCAAACAAATCGATACGTATTTTGGAAATCAAGACGAAACCAATCTTAACGGATTTAAGAAAAAATCTACCTTCATAATGCTACAATAAAAAGCCTTGGTAAATAACGTTATGGGACGATTCTTCTAGATCAATTCCATTCGGAATAGTCCTCTTTTAAACTTTTTCAGAATGTCACAAGCTCTTAGAGATGCAATGTAAATTTTCCAGAACTCACCTGAAGAAGTTGTTTTAGCATCTCCACCATTGTCTCAACCATAACCTGGGGCTCTTCAATACCTTCGGTGAATATTGTTGTATTTACCATCATCCACATTGGGTTCCTAAACAAAAGTTTTTACAGTGATTTCCTTAATATCATCCACATCGGGTTCCTAAACAACAGTTTTTACAGTGATTTCCTTAATATCATCCACATCGGGTTCCTAAACAACAGTTTTTACAGTGATTTCCTTAATATCATCCACACCGGGTTCCTAAACAACAATTTTTACAGTGATTTCCTTAATATCATCCACATCGGGTTCATAAACAACAGTTTTTAAAGTGATTTCCTTAATATCATCCACACTGGGTTCCTAAACAACAGTTTTTACGGTGATTTCCTTAATATAATCCACATTGAGTTACTTAACAACAGTTTTTTTTACAGTGATCTACTTTTTTCTTTGAACTATTCACTGGAAGTAATAAAAGATAAAAAAGGTGACTTAACTTCATTATATGCACCGTTCACATCGGTTAACAAAAAACCTCCGATTGAGCAGAAATGTCAAAGATAAATCTCTTTTTTGTTGTTGTTCTATTGACAAGAAATTCACAAGTCACTTTTGCAGAGAAACTATTATTATCGTTGTAAATTGAACATTACCATCTTTACATGGATGAATGATCACTTTTCATTACACTTACACTCACTTTAGATATAGTTCTTACTTTGTCTTGTTATAAACATCCATCTTTTGTTGATCACAATCATCCATTGTTCCCTCGATCTTCTTCTGGAGAATCTTGGTGCTGTCCTCGCTAGTGGTGGAGATGTACTTCATCAGGTCCCTTCGCACCTCCTCGTTCTAAACAAACTTTTGAATATAATGGAGTTAAACCTTGTGGATTTAAACCACTGGCGAACCAAAAACTTTTAAATTTAGGAGAAAAAAACTGATACCAGATGTTCGAAATTTTGATTTTAAGGGATGATAGTCTAAAAACATGAAGTTAAACTTAACGTTGGCAAAAAATCATTGGAATTTATACAATATAAGGTTTTAAGTAGATGCTTTTTTCTCTTTTTTTTATGTTAAAAATAGTTATTTCTGTAATACCCCCCATTATCTGTATTAATTTACCTGTTGCATTGTAGATCTGCAGATAGATACCTGCTCTACTGGTTCCCCACCATCCTCTGTAGAATTGTAGATCTGTAGATATATACCTGTTCTACTGGTTCTCTACCATCCTATGTAGAATTGTAGATCTGTAGATATATACCTGTTCTACTGGTTCTCTACCATCCTCTGTAGAATTGTAGATCTGTAGATATATACCTGCTCTACTGGTTCTCAACCATCCTTTGTAGAATTGTAGATCTGCAGATATATACCTGTTCTACTGGTTCTCTACCATCCTCTGTAGAATTGTAGATCTGTAGATATATACCTGTTCTACTGGTTCTCTACAATCCTATGTATAATTGTAGATCTGTAGATATATACCTGCTCTACTGGTTCTCTACCATCTTCTGTAGCATTGTAGATCTGTAGATAGTAATTCATTTTCTCCATCATTTCATAAAGAACCTCAGCACCGCAGGAGTCACAGCCCTCTATAACAAGTGGTTCGATATAAGAATTTTTATTTGCTTTTAACTCTGATTTTCTGCTTCTCATATCTTTTTAACCTGATTTTGTTAGCCTGAGATATTTCAAATTTTAACTTTTGTATCTGTCAGAGTTGATTGTTTGAAATATTGAAGTTCTACGACATCAGTTTGGATAGAAGGATTAGAAAATTAGAGTGTGAGGCAGGTATTAGTTGATTGATTGATAGATTGTCATATTAGTTGATTTATTAAAAATATTGACTTTTTGATTGATTAATTGATTTATTGGTTGATTGAATGATTTATTGGTGGATATATTGACTTGCTGAATCATATATTGACAGATTGACTTGATTGACATATTGACAGATTTGGTTGATTTTTTGATTTATTGATTGTCTGTTTGATTAACTTATTAATTGACTTTCTCGTTGATTAATTAATTAACTTGTTGATTAATTAATTGATATAGCAGTTGATTGATTGATTAAACTACCTGGTCCACAGCCAGCCTTGCATTCTTTAACCAGTTCTTGTAGTTTATTACTGATGGGTGCTAGAGATCTAGAGGTCGTCTTCTTTAGTTTATCCTCATCCTTAAAAGACCACGGTAAACTTGAGGTCATGGTTAAAATTTTAGGGAGTCTAAACTTTTCTCCAGTAAATGTAGATTTTTTGTATTTGCTATTTTTCTAGGACTATAAATTTAAAACATTTAAGTATATAAAGCCTCTTTACAGATTTTTAATGAGAGATAAAAAAATGACCGAATATGTTCTGTTTTGAATCTTGCTTTTTTAATTCACCTTAGTTTTAGACAGCTTAGTAATCACATCCTCTATTTCCTCTCTGTAATTTAATTCATTATTATAAAAGGAAAATCCAATATGTCAACTGCAAAACGTTTGGAACTTTGTTTTAAAAGTTTAGTCGAAATTAAATGTCAAAAGATTTAAAGGTTTCAAAACAAAATAAGACATATTTTTATTATGTTTTACGGGACTGTAAACTTTATCCTCCGGCCTTCACACACCGGTATCATTAAAACCTGAATCTGATTACTTTTGCAGAGAAACCACAAATGAAAATAAACAATTTAAATAAACAGAAATACGAATATCTAATTCATACTTGATCAGACGTAGCTCTATACAGGGTACCGTTGTAAATAGGACATTGCCATCTATGCATGTAAGTCCCATGAAATTAGCTTACCAGTTTCTTTAAGAGTGATATTTTGATTAAATAAATAAATGAACATCTGACCCAAGAATATAATGCAAGGAAAGTTAATTGCAGTTGCGTATACTCTGCGTACATATTGAAATCAGTTCTCTCTGGGCGGAATTTGTAAACAAGAAAAGATGTCTCAGTGTTCGTTTAGTATCCGAGAAGGTCAGAAGCATTGAATTTTAATAACTTTGATAATTCACATAATAGTTTCCTATGACCAGAATATTTCATTGATTATTTATGTGAAAGATGGATACCATGTCAGGCTTCGACATCCGTCAGGTGTTTACATTACCGCCCAGTGACAGTACACTGCAGTACAAAAGATGCGTACACCACTGAAATTACTTTCCTTGCATTACATCCTTGATCTGACCTGATGGCCTTGAGATTGTTTAGTTTAGTTTCCACAATCAGGCGTTCAGCTTCGTCAAAGGTTGCGAACAAAGAGGGAAACAGTCTTTCGGTTTCATCGTCAATTTTCCTAAACAAATTTACAACATGAAACATCAGGCAAAAACGTTTTGTTTTGAAGATCTAATAAAAAAAAGTTTTGGGCAAAAATTCGAAAATTTCAAAGAAAGAAAAGAAAAAACATTAAAAAATTTAAAAATATTAAAAATTGAAAAATGGGAAAAAACCTGTTGCAGTCCATAAGCTCCATAAAATACATGTTTGGTGGCATACATTCTCCTCCTTCTCCTCCTGCTCCACTTCCTTCTCCTTCATCTCCTTCTCCTCCATCTTCTTCTTCACATAGAAAATAATAATGTAAATATATAATTGATTACTAAGCACTAAAAAAAATCTGCGTGGTTCACTTAGTTCCCCGATGGACGGAAATTCGTATCCAACTAATCAGGACATCGACTTTTAGAACCGGGTTCCTCAGAAAATAATGATAATTTGAATCGATTGATAGTAATGAAAAAATACCTGTTTCTCCTTCTTCCATGTCAGCACACATTATCAATTTGTTAATCTTTTCACTGAGAAAAAAAATACAAAAAATTTTAATTTTTAAATCGTTTAGAAATGATTTTTTACCTGAGTCCATCAAGAAGTTCACATTCCTCACAATCTCCTTCCTCAACCTTCTTAGCAACTCGGCCCTAGGGGAAAAATCATGGTTAACCGATCGACATTTCTTTAAAAAAGTGTGCAGTGAAAACAGACCCATTTCACTTGATTTTTATAAGTGATTGCATAATTCATTAGTAAAACTATTTGCTTTGAACCACATCAAATTTACTTTAATATTGATTTAATGTCGTCTTTATATTCTACAGTTTTCTGGTTATCACTGTACGCCCATTTTACAGCACATCGTGAGCGTACATGTCAAATGAGCCTGCTGCCGTAGAACTTAAATTTTCCTTCCTTCAATAGGGATTTTATGCAACTTACTTCATGCAGTAAATCGTGTAATGTATGGGAATTTCCTTACAGAAAAATAAAATAATCCTGCGCCTTTCGAAACCAGAGATCCTTACAAAGAAGTTTAATTTTGACGGGAGGAAATGCAGTGTATAATTTGTTATTTCTCTTTCCCTGTGATCATCGTGCGCCTCGAATGAATAAAAGTATTTCTTTAAGTACTGTTAATTATTTTGATTCATTATATCTGACTCCTATTCTTTAAGTACTGTTAATTATTTTGATTCATTATATCTGACTCCTATTCTTTAAGTACTGTTCATTATTTTGATTCATTATATCTGACTCCTATTCTTAAAATTGATTAAATGATCTTAATAATTAACTTGATCTTAGAATTTTTTTTGATCAAAAAATTGATCTTGACCTTGACCTTTATCTTAATCTTGAACCTGATTACCTGAGGCAGCATCATGACCCTCATGACCTCGTTGTTGACCTTCATCCTTAGTTCAAGGAGGTCGTCTCTCACTTCCTTCAGCTAAATAAAGTTTAATATTATCATCATATTAGAAAAGAAACATTCTTGTATATTGGAAAAATATCAATAACTCAACAAAATATATTAAAAACAAATTAATAAAATCATATTTCATCGCCCCCCCCCTTCAAAAAATTCTGAAAGCTGAATAGAATTTAATTTGTTTTTCTAAATATAAAAAGTCCTGGATGCAAATGCTGAGCAAAATTCATTTATAAACAAAGAAAAGAAAAAAAATAGAAACAAAAGAAATTTTTGTTTACCTTTTCAACACTGGCAGCGTCTCTTTCTACAAGTTTAAGTAAAATACTCATGATATCCATCCTAAACAAACATTTTGGCTTTTATTTTGTGATCCCGAGAGTAACTAAGTTCAAAAACGATAAAAAATCGACATTTGCTGCCATTTAAGGATTGTTATGATTTAAATATTTTAATTTTAGCATTAGCTTAAAGGAACTGTAGACATAATATTAGATTAAAGGAACTGTAGACATAATATTAGCTTGAAGGAACTGTAGACATAATATTAGATTAAAGGAACTGTAGACATAATATTAGCTTAAAGGAACTGTAGACGTAATATTAGCTTAAAGGAACTGTAGACATAATATTAGCTTAAAGATACTGTAGACGTAATATTAGCTTAAAGGAACTGTAGACGTAATATTAGGTTAAAGGGACTGTAGACGTAATATTAGCTTAAAGGAACTGTAGAAGTAATATTAGATTAAAGGAACTGTAGACGTAATATTAGCTTAAAGGAACTGTAGAAGTAACATTAGATTAAAGGAACTAGACGCAATATTAGATTAAAGGAACTGTAGACGTAATATTAGCTTAAATGAACTGTAGACGTAATATTAGCTTAAAGGAACTGTAGACGTAACATTAGCTTAAAGGAACTGTAGAAGTAATATTAGATTAAAGGAACTGTAGACGTAATATTAGCTTAAAGGAACTGTAGACGTAATATTAGCTTAAAGGAACTGGAGAAGTAATATTAGATTAAAGGAACTGTAGTCGTAATATTAGATTAAAGGAACTGTAGACGTAATATTAGCTTAAAGGGACTGTAGACGTAATATTAGCTTAAAGGAACTGTAGACCTAATATTAGCTTAAAGGGACTGTAGACGTAATATTAGCTTAAAGGGACTATAGACGTAATATTAGCTTAAAGGCACTGTAGACGTAATATTAGCTTAAAGAAACTGTGGACGTAATATAAACTTAAAGGAACTGTAGACGTAATATTAGCTAAAAGGGACTGTATACGTAATATTAGCTTAAAGGGACTGTTTCACGCCTAAAAATTCATTTGTGAACAATTCCTTTAAATAAATATATGCTTTTTACCTAATGTTAGTAAGATTCTCCTCTTGTTTTATATTCTGATCAGGGCAGGTTGCAATCTCAGATTTACGGAGTTTAAAAATTCGATCCAAAACCACCTCTCTCACTTCTAAAACCTAGATCACAATAAATATACTTTTCTTTTTAATCCAAAAAGCACAAGAAAGAACTTTGACGGAAAGCTAGGAACGTTTATAATTAATTTTAAAAATGAACAATTATTATCCAGATTATTTTTCTGAAATCTAAGTATGTTCATTGTTCATGGAGTTTATAAATATTATTTTTTTCTGAATTAGCACATTTTTATTTTTATGAACTTACTTGAGTAAATAAACGGTGTCCGAATTTAATGAATTTAAGCCGCGTCTCAAATCCCAAAAAAACGGTTTTATTTGAGCGCTGGCTTAAATCTTGAAAAATTGAATACAATTCTACAGGGTGTCCCAAAAAACATGGGAATTCAGTGACGAATTGGATATCGTCTTTGTCATGAATTAGCATTGTAGTACCTAATTTCAAAAGCCATAATATTATTATAATATTTATTTTATGAAAAGGGTAAAAGACTGTAAGGTGTGTCTATAATGTCTCTGCAAGATGAACAGTGAAGACAGACAAGTTTACTCTGTTTGTTTACTGCAATTTTCTTGTTTTACTAAGTACAACCGTATGCAGCCAAAACATAAACAAACAAAATGTGAACTTAGCAGACGAAACTCTTACAAATTACAGCTTTCTCAGTAGGTATCACTTTACTAAATCAAAGAATTATCTAAAAAGACGATATCGAATTCGTCACTGAATTCCCATGTTTTTTGGGACACCCTGTAAGTGCAACCAACCATATTTGAGCCGAGGCTTCAATTTAAGCCACCACTCAAATTCTTTAAATTCGGCATGATTTAAGATATTTTATGATGCCAAGCTATCAAGTTGGAGAAAATCAAAAGTTCAAATGCATTAAAGTACAAGGTTATTCACAAAGGATGAAACTTTAATGACATGAATCACATTTAATGCAGACTTACCCATCAAAGATGATACTTAAAGGGACCGTTCACTTATTTGGGTAATTTCATGGTAAACTATTAGCTGTTAATTGGGATCAGTCTTTCTTTTCATAGACAACTAGGTGGCCGGAGAAAAATCAGATTTTTACTTCAGAATTCGAGCGCAAAGGGACGGTCCCTTTGTCTAAAACACTATACTAGACGTTTTTCAGCAACAACAGCCCAAACAAATTTAAATATATCATATTTAAATGCCATTATGTGTTAGCTATTATATCCTAAAATATGAAAACTTTTGATATTTGAATTAGCAATAGATTTACGTACATACTACACATATATATATATATATATATATATATAGCTATCCATAATTCAAAAACATCTTGTGTAAGACGACATTTATTCTCGCCTTCGTTTGAAAAAATCTTTTCTCACCTTCTTCATAGTCTTAGACACAGTATCCTCAAGGATTGCGACGGATCCTTTCTGATCCTTAGCATCCCTTAATCCACGCAGTAGTTCCTCAACTTTATCACTAGATACAATTACAAGATTAATAAAAAAAACCGCGAAATTTATTTCATGGCATGCAGGGTGTCCCACGAAACATGACACATGGTAAATTGTTTTAAATGTCTTCTTCCATATATTGTATTAGATATCAAAGACTTGTTGAAGTTGATTTTGTTTATAAAATCTTTTACTCAAATATGTTTTGCTTAAAAACCATAAAACTCTGGAATAGAATTTTAGACTTAAAGCTCGCATTGAAATAGATCAATGAACATGAGAAACAGAAATTGTGCAGTGTAAACAGACCCATTTCACTCAATAGGGGATTTAATAAGTTACTTGTGAAACTTTTACTTAGTGACAACATTAAATACACTAATTATTGCTGAAATGGCGTCTCTGTATTTTAGAGTATTCTTTTTCTCACTGTAGACTGTGTAAAATCATAAGATTAGAAAATGAGAAAGGGATTAAATATTAATCTTTCAATTTTTTAGAAATATTTTCTTACTTTACTTCTTCTCTTAGGAACTGAATATATTCCCAAGATTCCTCACAATCGTCCGCCGCGCTATCTTCCGCCGCATCTCCGTCCGCCCCTTCCGCTGCTGGTGCTGCATCGTCAGCCTCCGCTGTATCCGCTGCTGCATCATTCGCTGGCGGTGGAGCAGCTGCCGGCGGAGCAGCAGCTGCCGGCGGAGCAGCAGCCGCTGGCGGAGCAGTATCTGCCGGAGGAGCATCATCCTGAGCTAAAACTGCTCCAAGTCCAAGTATCAAAATACAAAGAACCTTTGTACACATCCTAGAATAAATAAAAAAATTAGCATTTTCTAAAAGTACGTAGAATTATTAGAGCATCAAGAAGAGAAAGGACGTTAGAACATTAATGCAGATTTCATATGGTTAAACTTTTATATTTATACGGATGTGACCCAATTTGTCAACTTAATTTAAAGGTAACAGAACGATGTCATGGCTTATTTAAATCGATTTAAGGATACATTCCAAATGTTAATACCTCAGGCTAAAAACTACATTACTGTTACGCTGTACCTGTAATTGTATCTTAGCTTTTAAACGTAAAATGTTGTCACACAATGGTTGGCGATTATATCAATGCAATAAAGAAGACTTTTTATTAATAATTCTGGACTCTTGAATCTTGATAAGCATTTGTCAAGTTACAAGTCTCTGCGCTTGGAAATAGAAAGGTGTCTCTATATATATGTAAACGACAACGACTGTATCGATTTTTGTAATTTGAATATTTATATATTTATATAGTTGAGAATGCAATTAGAGAAACTAAAAAATGTTGAGTTCGAAAAAAAACTGTTAAAGGAGTGTTGCAGGCGTGAGATAAAAAAATGATTATTTTTTTCATTAAAGAGAAAGTATGCGGTTGGAATGCAGAATTGGGAGTGCTATACACGGCTAGAGTAAAGTATGACTTTTCAAATTTAACATTTTTTGGACATTTTTGCAAAATAAACTTTACAGTCCATTGGATTAAGAATAATTGATCCACTGATGTAAGACTGTAAAAACGCATCTTTTTGTTCTTACCATTAAAGGAAGCGTAATTTTAAGTATCCATGTTATTTTATTTAAGCTTTTTATTTTCTATTGCGGTTTCTCTGCAAAAGTGACTTGCGCATTTCTTGCTTAAAAGAAAAAAGGTAAAATTATCGGAATTAAACACTTTCCTAATCAGAAGACGACGTTATCTTCAACAGTTTTGGTCAGATTAAGGTTTCAAGGGTACCGTTGTAAATCGGGCATTGCTATCTTTGGTGAAGCGATGACTTATATTACGATTACAGTCCCTTTAAAGTTTTCACAGTTTCTTAATCGAGCTGGTCGTTAAAAATGGAAAATTCTAAAATATACTGCAAACTGACACCCTTCTTGAAATTGGAATTTTGTATTAGAAAAAATTATAAATTTAGGGATAAAACAAATTGACAACTTTAATAGGAAGGAAGGAAGGATTATTTTTTTGATTACTATCTAAAGAAATTATTACAATTGGTTCAGTGTTGTACAAAAACCATTTCGAAAAAAAGTTTTGTTTCAGATCCCCAGTAGAATGTATTGTGAGATAATTCAATTAAATAATCTGTTTATAATATCCTCCTAGAAACAGCAATATACTATTTTTCCCAGAAACAGCAGTACACTATTGCTCCCAGAAGCAGTAGTACACTATTGCTCCCAGAAACAGCAGTACGCTATTGTTCCCAGAAACAGCAGTACACTATTGTTCCCAGAAACAGCAGTACACTATTGCTCCCAGAAACAGCAGTACACTATTGCTCCCAGAAACGGCAGTACACTATTGGGTTTCCATCAAAATTTTGTGATCTCGTAGCTCCTTTAGGTTTGATTTTATGAACAAGTATAAAAAAAGCAAATTCGACTTGTGACAACTTACATATAAGAAATTCAAAACAAATTAGCTCTTCTCAATAGCTCTTAATAAAAGGAGTTATGATTGAAAACATATAAGATTTGAATCTTACATGAAATTTACATTAGTTTAACGTGAGGGATAAAACAAAATGATACAAAGTAGACGACCAATGTTTGCAACAGTCCAAAGTAAAATTAAATCTTTTTATTTGACCTGAAATTTAAAATTGAAAGCACTGTTTGCAGATGTTTTCAAGTCAAGGCCGAGTTTTCTACTGCAGATAACTCTTCGATCCTTGGCTTTTATTACCCGAGGTGAGAGCTGTGGATAGATAGATAGATCTGGGTGCGGAAACTGCAAAAACATAGAAATTAACGATGCTTTCCTATGTTCCGATGCAGTCTCCAGAAACTTTTTTTTACTCAGGCGGCGTTCCAAGAAAAATTAGTTGTAAACGTCCAGTGACAATAAATAGTTTAAGATTATAAGATTATGGTTTTAAAAATCAAAATGATAATTATTTATGGATATTAACAAATTATGAATTATAATTTGAATCGTTAAGAATTGATTTATAAATATATATTGGATAAAATAAAAATTGATTGCATGCATAAGCAAATGAAATAAAAATGTTATTTTTATCCCTAAACATAATATTTGTCTTTCTCCATCTGCCCTTAACTGAAAACTCCAGGTTCAGTTGAAGTATAGTACTGACTTATAAACGGGACACCAATCATCCCAGTCTAGTAAGATTAATCTGTTTTAAGAGGGTGGTTGAGCTGAGCTGGGAGAATAAAGTTAATTTTTTAAATTAGGGACC